GTACCTTTAATATATTGGCAAAGAAACAAGGCAGCTTTCTTTGGTAACATTAGCATTGGCTTAGTGTCAGATCACAGATGTATTCTAAATTGTATTATGCTTACTGTGCCTGTCCTTGCTTTTCAGATTTTCTTCATCATCTCACTTTTATATCAGTAAGTGAAAGAGAAGCTGTGAAATTTGTAATTCAGAGACAATTTAGCAAAATAGGCACAGTAAACATGAAAACCAAAAAGCACCAGGTGCCAATTTCAGGACAGCCATCCCAAACTATTATTTCCAAAGGTTTTTAAATGGAAAAGGAAATGTTAATCCTCTGGTAAGACCTTTCTTGTTCTTGTTGGTGCTTTCTGTGAGGGTTGCCTGGTGCCCTGTCCATTCCATGCTCCCTGTGAAATTCCTGCAGTTGCAAGTGGGAGTATAGAGGGGTTCATCAGTCCAGCCCAGAGATCCAAGCTGGAGGGGCTTAGTCTGCCTTCACTCCTCCCCAGCAGCGCCTTGGGCACAGATTCCATGGAAAATCCAAGCAGGAAAATGCCTGTCAGGCAGTTTCAGTTTCCCATTCTCCTGAAGTGAGAGAATGTCACCACGTTGGCTTTTCTAACAGCATAGGGAGATTAAAATTTAAAAGGTTTTTCCACTGCTACTAAAATAGCAAAAATATTTCCAGTCATACAAATGTTAGCTTAAATGGACTTCTTTAAAGGGAGTTTACCTTTCAGGCCTGCACTGAGAGCATTCCCTCACATTTTAGCAGCTCACAGGCACTTCAGTCAGCAGTTTTTATTGATGCAGAGACTGAAGCATGGGAATCTGTTCTGAGTGCAGCTGATTCTTGTTAGGTTATTGCTCCAGATTGTTTGGGTTTTTTTAAATTCAGAAAATACACCATTATAATTTCATACTTAATCCCAGTGTGTTCTCACAACATTAAGGTAATTTAAAAGCTATTTTAAATTTATAGGCGTTAGTAATTTTTTAAGAGATGCTAAATTACTGTCTCATTTATTTTGAGAAGTATCAACAGCACTTCTGGAGTATCAGAAACATCTAAATTTAGTAACTTCCATTTGCTGAACTGGGTCCAATCTTTTCCAGTTTTCACAGAGAAAAGTATGAATACTGATTTTTTTTTCTCTCAAGCATTGTTCAAGACAGGCTCCAGATGTATTTTCACATAATATTTAAAATAATTGTTATTTAATATATAGTCTATATAATATATAGACTATCTAATATATCATTCTATATAAAATATAGCATATATTATATGTAATGATATATAGTGTATATGTATATAATATCTTATATATTATATAATATTATATATTTATATTATCCATAAAATATAATGATATATTATTATATATATTAATATATATATTATACTATAATATATAATTTTAAATAGTTATAATATATAATATATACTATATAATATATTGTGTATATTATAGATAACACATAACATATAACATATTTATAACATATTTAACACATAATATATAATATATATAATATTATATAACATGTATATTATGAGTAGTATATGTATATAATAATTATAATAATTATATGAGGTATATTATATATAATTATATGTAGCATATTATTATATAGTATATAACAATTATTATGTAATTTAAATATTTGAAATAATAATAATAATAATATTTATTTTAAAACAATCAAATCTCATGAGCCTAAGCTCGTGATTCTAAGGTAGAATCTCTTTATATAAAAGAGATAAGGTCAAATGTATTTCTGAGGTAAATTTGCTAAGTTAAGTGAATTTTGCTCATGGTTAATAACTTACTATTCTGGATGGAAGTTTAAAGCAATTATTACAAAATTGGATTAGTCATCATCCTGAACGCTGCATTGAATGCTTTGCCTGTCACATAGATTAACAAATTTGTGTGGTTTTTTTCTGTTTCACTATTTATGATTTCAGATTGTCTATGACAGAGTCCCAGAGCTCCAAGGCCGTGTCCTGAAGCTTGTGGTGAAAAGCAAAGGAACATTGGTGGGAGCTGTTAACATTCAACTGAGCAGTGTCCAGTTCAATGAAGAAAAGTGGTACCCACTGGGAAACAGTGTAATTTAAATGTTCTCCAAGATAATTCAATTATTTGCCCACTAATGTTTCTTTATCCCATTTCCCAGGGTACATTTTGTCTCAGTTGCCCTTGAGAATAGGCAGTCATCTGCTGAGCACATATCCTAACATTTCTAACCATTAGCCTCTTGTCTTAAAAGTGCCACAGATTCCTGCCAGTGTGGGTTTAAGGAATCACATCCTAAGGACTTGTAGCAACACGCAGGAAGTTCTTATGACAGCAATGACGGGCTTGGTTTTGTTAATATTAAATAGTACTGTAAAAATACTGAATTCTGTACACATCAGTGTGGGGGGGCTCATTCTCTGTCCATTAATTCCACTGACTGTGTTGAAACAATGCTGATAATGCTGTAATTTATCATCACTGCATGTGATTTCACCAGAAAACCATGGGATGGTTTATATATTTCATATATTTCAGATGTCCAGCAAATTTCACATTAAATCTTACTCAATCAATACTTTTGTTTTTTAAGAACTTTAAAAGTTTTGATACAATGTAACATTTAATCCAGGATATTAATTTGTCATTAATATATGTCGTTGTTTCTTTTATTCTGACATCCAAGAAGCAGATATAACTGGTCATTGGTGTGAGGAAAGAAAAAGGGAAAAGCTAATGTTCATGAATAAAGAGAATATATTGATTATGATCTTTCAGTGGGGCATTTATTTAAGATCATTATATACCACAGATATTTGTTCAGCAGTCTTCCCACATTGCACTCCTGTGCTGCAAAAGGAGTTCAAGTCAATACATGGATTGAATAGACCTCAGGGCTATAAAATATATGTTTATATATATTAATATATATCATGAATAATAAATAATGAACATGAGTGGTTCCTTTAAGTTCACAGATGCTCATTATGGGCTCTGTTTTTCTCTAGTTTGAGGAAGCATTTAGGCACATCTTTAAGCATTTGACATGTGAGCAGCCACAGTGAACTGTCCATGATTGCCAGACCCACTGACCATGTAAATAAACCTTTCCAGGGCCAGGGGCACATTTTTAAGGCACAGGAGATGTGGTAATTTATGATCTGATCTGCTGTAAATTTTAAATTACCTTATACTGGACAGAACTGACATTTCTCCTACCAGGTGGAAAAGTGGTCAACAGAGGGGTAATAATCCCAGAAGTGAAGGTAATTGCCTTCTTTTCCCAAAGGACATTTACATCAGTATTCAGAATATAAAGCTTTATAAAGCTCCTGAAGTGGGACTTGGACTGTTAGCTAGGAAATTAAATAAGCTGGAGTTTTTCTCAGATCAAACCAATGGACTTGACCAGGTTTTATGTGAAAATTCTTTCCCCAGTCAAACTAGTGCCCTAAGATCCTCCTCAGTAAGGGGAGGTGAGGGGAACTCTGTTTGAATATTAATAGTATTAGTCTATTCCGAACTGTAAGAAACTGTAAAATATTTACCACATGCAAGGGACATTGGGTGGCACATAGAATATCATCAGTACAAAGATCTGGACACCAAAATTTTTTGCTGTAGGCCCTCCTTGGAAACATATCAAGTGCCTTGTCATTCAAGCACAGAAAACACACTGAGAGCAGCTTACAAAGTTACCAAATTACCTGACCTTACAGTTCAATATTGATTTTAGATTCCTCTTAGTCTACTGTCTCAGTTTCCTTATTAAAACTATAATGCAATTTTCTAACAGTGCTATTTCCTGTGACATTTTCTAACCCTTGTTTACCACATGCCCTGATTTTCCATCTTAGAGCAACATTAAATAAAACAGCATTAGAACAGCAATAAATAGAAAGAGCATTACAATGTCTTATAAGAACTGTCTGCAAACTTAAGCAATCATGTTTAATATTAAAGAAACTTGTCAATATAACATCCTTTTTGTAAAAAAAATTATATTTGAGTAACAAATATGCCATTAATTGCATAATTAACAAATCTGCCATTAGTCTGTAGTCCTGTGGAAGGCCAACAATACTTCAGTTCTGAAAAGAAAACGAAAAAATTGTGTTTTATGGGCAAGATCTACACTGATAGCTCTGGTAGGCAAGAAGTTGTCCTCATAGCTCTTCACACACATAATCAACCCTGGTGTTTTCTAAAATTCTCTGGTTCTCCTCAGAGTGCTGTGTTTCCTGAGTTCCCTGCTCTTGTGAGGAACATGGTTCTTTACAAACCAGCCCAGGAATTTTTTATCTTGCTTTAGCAGCAGCAGGTTCAAGACTAAGGTAAGGAAAGGTACCAGTACTAACATATGGTTTTTTTTATGATTTTAAGTACTTTTTTTTCTCAAAACTATTTTTTCAGGTAAGAAAATGACAGTGGGGACTAAAGAGGAATAGCCCAATCAGAACCCACTTTTTACAAATTTAAAGGGAACATTGTATGGGTAATTTTTTCCTGTAAAGGTACAATGGTAAAAATTTTTGTTCAAAACAAATAAAAAGGTCAATTTCACATACTCATATCCTAAAAAGTAACTTGATCTCTTGTATATATTGGACTATTATTCTCACTCGATAATTAGTCATAAATTTGAAATTAGCTCCATGTGACATCAACTGAATTTTTTAAATATACAAAAATATTTGGTATTTATGAATTGTTTCTAAATAATCAGAGAATAATAGAATCACAGAATGGCTTGAGTTGGAAGGGGTCTTAAAGATCATCTCATTCCAACCCCCTGCTGTGGCCAGAAACACTTTGTAGGTTGCTCAGAGCCCCATCCAACTGGCCTTGGACACTTCCAAGGAGGAGGAGTCCACTACTTCTCTGGAAACCTGTGCCAGTGCCTCACCACCCTCACACTAAAGAATTTCTTCCTCATACTCAATTAAACTTACTTTCTTTCAGTTTAAAACCACCTAGTCTTGTCTCTATCTGTCCTACTGGAAGGTTCTGTAAGGTCCTCCCTGGGGCCTTTTCTTCTCCAGGCTGAACAGCTCCCATCCTCTCAGCCTTTCCTCACAGCAGAGGTGCTCCACACTTCTGATCATCTTCATGACCCTGCTCTGGACTCACTCCAAAATATCAACATCTATCTTGTGTTGGGAACCCCAGAGCTGAATGCAACTTTCCAGTTGGGATCTCCTGAGAGCAGAGTGGGAGGGTAAAATCACCTCCCTCAATACCGTTTTTGATAGCAAATGTGGGCTATTTTCCCCTTTTTCAATCAGTGGGAACTTCCCCAGCCTGCCATGACTTCCCAAGTATATGGATAGCAGCTTAGCCCAGTTCCCTCAGGACCTGTGACTGTATCTCATCAGGTCCCATGAACTTGTGTGTGAAAAATTGATTTGTAAAGGGCTCTCAAAACCTGACTGAAAGCTCACACAGCCTTGTACATGTGTGTGCAAACTCTGAGATAAGGTGTGCTGACTTAGGAAGGCCATGGAATAGAGATGACATTGTTGAGAGACAGATTGAACTAGAAAAAAGTTTCAAAAGAGGGTCTGTCAAAAAGACCAAATATTTTGGAGAATTAGAACTGTGAAAGATGCATTGCAGCAAGGCCATGTAGGATAAAAAAAGAGATAATTTGGGTTAGAAGTATTAGCAGCATTGTGTGGCAAAAGCTAATAGGCTGAAAAACATTTATAAGGTATTGTAACCAAGAAATAGAGTGGCTTCTGATGGAATGGTGTTGTTTTACATCTCTTATGTCTCAACCTTCTACAAGACTGATAATGGAAAAAAAATCTTTTAAAACACCTTTCAGTTACCCCATCTCTATAGAGCTGGGATTTTCCAACACTCGTGCATTTCAAAGCTCCTTAGATTTTCTCAAACTCAGTCTTCCCCTACAGAAAAATAGCAGCAGGGCCTTGTCCAGGACATCCCTTTCCTAACAGCCCCACTGGCTTCACAAAATCATTGAGAATGTGCCAGTCTAGAAATCAGGCCCCTGGGCTCTTGGAAAGCCCGAAATGCTACTTTATTGAAGCAGGGGACAATCCCCCAGAATAATTTCTTCTGCAGAACATCACTAATAGAACCAAACATGAGCAAACAGCGATGCAGATTCCAGCTTGGTTCCATCTTTGGATAGCAGCGGAATGTTACGATAACCTGGAAATATAATGACACCTTATTAGTGTATTAACCACAAGTACAGATATTAGAATGGAGTGGTTTTATGGTCATCTATGCAGATAAGGCAAAATTAATGATTCTGTAAATAGCTCTTTAAAATAAAGTGAAATTATACAGGGCCTAAACACCATTGGTGCTATTTCTTCTCATATATATATAGTATTTCAATTCTGGTATTTTTAGTGACAGAGTGAAAAATTCTAATGTTTTTCAGGATGTGGTATTTTTTCAAATGGAAGACTTTTAGCCCAGTGATATTTAAACATGGACAAAGGTTACAATGTAATACCCAAGGTTAGGTGCTGCATGCATTGTTCTGATAGCAAATGAAATCAGCATGTGAAACAGCAGTGATGGCACCTACAGAATGGTGCTGCAGCAGCTGTGCACTCTCCAGCTGAGGCAGAAAAAAATGAAATGTAACAACTCTGCAATGACATCTTACAAAGTTGTTTTCATATGAGTAATTCACTTTATTAGAGATAAGTCATGCCATCAGAAACAACGTGTTCATCTGGTTGGTTGAAGCATTTGGAGAAGCTGTAGTTCTCAATTTCGAACACAATTCACTTAACTGCTTAGAAAACAAAACAATCTCTTCTTCAAAGCCTCAGCCTGTATGGCTTGATATGACTAAATGTCCATTATTTCATAATAATAAACAATATCACTTTTGATTAAAAAATATTCTGTATTCTGTCTATGTATATATAACTCCAGGTATTTCAGTAATTCTCTGTTTTGTATCAGTACCTCTGTTTTCAAAACTGCATATTTCAAAGCCCCTCCTTAGGTGTGTCTGGTTGCCTGTGGAGTCTTTGGAGCCCGCACTAACCTGGGTTTGGAATTTCTTGCTTCTTTTATACAGAATCCTAAAATTGTTTAGGTTTGAGAAGGTCTCTGAGATCATCAAGTCCAGCCTTTGGCTGATCACCACCTTGTGAACCAGAGTGTGGCACTAAGTTCCACATCCAGTTGTTCCTTGAACACCTTCAGGGATGGTGATTTTGCCTCCTCTCTGAGCAGCCCTTTCTAGTGCTGGACAACCTTTCCAGTGACAAAATCCTCCCTCATGTCCAACTGAACCTTCCCTGGCACAATTTGCCCTTGTTCTGTCATATTACACATAAGCTCCTCTGGTATTTAAGGTTCAGGTTCTGGGCAGCAGATATTAATGCTGGTCTCAGACACTTTTCTTTTGAGTTTTTTTAGCATGCACACAATATGTGGAAGGCTTGGTTGATTTCCTATCCAAAGATACACTTCAAGGACTAAGAATAATTTCTGAAGACTTGTGGTCTAGCTTCTACCTACAGAATATTCTACAAAGTGTCCTGAGAGAAGTAAAACTTTCTTTTTAACTGAAATTGCTCCATTCTGCATTAAATAATTAACTACTCATGGATGATAATGGAGGTAATAATTGAGTTCCTGTCCTGTATTAGCATTCTCCACGGCAGATTCATTGGCCCAGGGACTGTAACAGAGCACTCCCCTTCTATTTGCCTTTAACCACCCAGGTTGAGAATTTCTCTCAATTTCAGCCCCTCTGAGTATAGCTACATAGTCACTACATGGAAAATCAAATTCTGCTACAGCTGGGTAGCAAACATTCCTCCCCAGTGGAGTCTACAAGTAGCTGGGAGTCTGGTGCTGGGGAAAGGAAGGCAGTGTGGATATAGATTTGAATCCTTTCAAAAGAAAATGCAGAGGAGGGAGGAAATGGCACGACTTTTTCTCACTGCCTGACAAAGAAAATAAAAAGATGTAAGCACTGCTCAGCTTTTGGAAGGAACTTGCCCTCAGGGACACCTCAGGGATACAAATCCTAGGGAGTGAGGGGCAGTCCTGTAGCACAGATTAAAGCAATTTGAGTGCTGAGGACTGAGACTGAAATCCTAGCTCATCCTTCAGCATTTTAGGCAGTTCTTCCCTTATCTTCTTTATGTGACTCCCTCTGCAAGAATTATTTTGCCATTTCTCTGTTTAGAGAGCCTTGGTACCTAAAGCAAAACCATTGTTCCAGAACCTGGTTTCAGAGATCTCAATGGTAAACATTGCAATAAATTTTGAAATTATTTATCATTTCACTTCTTAGAAGCATTTTATTAATGGCTTCTGGGCATCCTGATGGCAAATTACTTTTTTTTTTTTAAATGTTGTGTTAAGGGGCAATTTGTTTGGCATCAATTATAGTTTTTGTACCTAAACTTATTCCCTAGCATTTTGAATTACTCCACTGGAAATATTTCCTCAAAAATCTACTGTTCTTACTTTTCCAAAATATGAATACCTAATTTGTGAGCAAAATTAATCCTACAGAGACATTAAGCCACACTAAAAAAGCCATCTAAAAAAGCCTCAATTAATAATTTTACAGGCACTTGTAAGCAGCAGTGCCTGATATTTGAATTTGTCTCAGACATTGTGAGCTGGTGAGTTGAATTTTCTTTCAGTATCCAGAAGTATACAAATAAAAGGAAAGTAAAAGGTTATCAGTGTAAAAATTTATGTTGTAGAAAAACAACTGAGCTCTAAGAGTAATGTCTTTGTTCTTGTATAACTCCTCAACCTCAACTAAGAATCACAAGCAGCTTTATGACTTCCAAACATGAGGGGAAAAAAGCCATTTAAAATCCTGTTAAGCTTAATAAAATAGCTCAGTGCCTGTTGCCAGCTCCAATGTTTTGCCTTCGCATCTTTATTCTCTAATAAAAGCTGTTTGTTTTGTCAGAAATAGCTTTGGAAAGCCAGTGTAGTAAACAGCCATTTTACATAAGCCTTTCTCCTTGGCCTATTGACTTCTGTGTCTGCTCTTTATGTGCAGCCTATTCATTACAAAGGTTCCAGGAACTCTACTGGCTTAACAAAAGAAACTCCAGCAAGAAAAATGCCATCTTTGGTCTAATTTATAACCATTGTTCTCCACTCTGAAAAGTTGCAGATAGGTTACCTGAGGGAGTTTTGGTGGCTTGTTTTGTTTTAATTTGATATTGGATTTTTAACTTATCTGAGTAGGAATTGCACAAAACTGCTGCCTTCATAGCAGTTCTGACTAGTCTCGCTTCTTGCAATGAATTAAAATACCACCTGGGCAGTTTCCATCTAGAATGGAATACTGCAGTGGGAATAATCTCCTGTCATTAATACTGCTTTGGTTTCAACATCATGGATTTGCATTCAGAGAATACAATTAGTCAAAAAAACAGAGAGTGCCACGTTTTCATTTAGTTACACAATCTCCCTCTAGAAAACAGGCATGATGCTGTACTCTTTCAATGCTACAGTAAAAATAAAAGCTTGGAATGTTGCAGATTTTTTAAGCTGTTACAGATGGCTCACATAAAAGTACTACCTGTATTCAGGCTCATCACAGGTAAAGTGTACTGGCCAAGGAAGTCCTTGTTGACCAGAGACACCTCATCCTCCACACAGAAGCGTATCATTGCCAGCTCTGGAACTTGGATGTTGAAAGAGAAGGTTTCATTCCATCTAGGGCACAAAGCTAAGGGAAAGAGAAAAGAAACAGGATTCAAATGTGATTTCTTTTTTTTTTCTCTACTCAGTAACTGAATTATTGTACCTGCTATCACTAGTCTGAACTGGTAAAGAGTCATTCTTTTTCCTTAGATATCTGTGCCCATTTAAATAAATAACCAGACTCCCACTGACTCTAGAGGTGCAAAAGCCTAAGACAGTTGGTGTCATCTCTTAAAAGTGAGCAAAATGGGACAAGGATAGCCAAGTTAAGAACTTCTGCTCAACCTAAATTTTCCGATAGCCATACCAGTTTCACGCTTTTGCCAAAGTTTCTCCTTTCACAGTGAGTAAATAAATTCAGGTAGTAAAACACTCACTTGACTAGAAAGACAAAAAAAGAATGTGGAACAGAATGGGTTACTTTGTCTTTAGCAATGTTCCTACAGAGAAAAGAAATTCGGGGGCTGATTTAAAACAGCAGCCATCTAAAAAAAAAAGAAAAAGGAAGCATAGAAGACAGAGATACAGAAAAAGGGAGATCACAGGGAAGTTGTAGTCTGAGACATCAAGAAGATCTATATTATAAAGATAAGGGAGTGCTCAAAGACAGCAACAAAGAGTACACACTTCACCTGTCAAGCAATTAAGGGATTACTCCTACTAAAAACTTCAAATGAGACAAGTGATGAAGTTACAGCAATTGCTTAAGAAAAAAAGTCTAAATTTACCAATTTGTCTGTTGGTTTAGGCTGGGATAGGATTAATTTTCTTCATATCAACCCCTATGGTGCTGCATTTTGGATTTTTAACCCAAACAGTGCTGATTACACAAGAGTTTGAGCTGTTGCTGAGCTGGGCTCACGCAGTGTTGAGATTTCTGTCTTTCTCCCTGTGCAAAGCAGCCTCAGGACAGCTGAGCCCAGCTGAGCAAAGGGATGTTCCTTAGCAAGGGTGGCGTGCCCACAGCTGGGGAAAGCAGGGAGGGAGGCACTCAGTGTCTCTCTTCCCAAGTAACACAAAGCTCCATAATGAAGCCTTGTTTCCCTGGGAATGGCTCTACCCCTGCCTGCCCATGGGAAGTGGTGAATGAATTCCTTATTTTGATTTGCTTGTGTGTAAAGCAGCTTTTACTTTACCTGTTAAACTGTCTTCCCAACCCATGGGTTTTCTCATTTTGGCCCTTCCAGCCCTCTTCCCATCCAGCTGGGGGAGAGCAGGCAATCAGCTCTGTGGGGCAGAGCTGCTGTCCAGGATGATCCCACAGCAGTGTGCAAAAAAAATCCCAGCTAGGAGTTTGTGCTTCCTTAACCTACCAGTCTAGAAAAATGGCACACAGCATGAACTTCTGCTACAGATTTTGTGCCAGGAGATCCTAGTCTAGAGATAAATAATTACATTTTCTATAACAATTCCTTGGTGATTTCTTATCAAATGTTGTTGTGCTTTGTTCACAGCCAAGAGAATCAGACTGCTGCTCACCATTGCTTTTTATAACACTAGATCTCTTCTTGGCTTGATCCTCTGGCACACCATAGATTTCTATCTGCACCGTGGGGTCAGCTTTGTTGGTCTTTGACATGGCACTGGGTGGTAACTGATGGCCACTGATCAGCTGGAAAATTAAAGTTATATTGAAATAACTGTAAGAATTAACTATTCACAGCCATATGGTAGCCATAATAGAGAAAACATTCATAAGAAATTATTTCAAGTATATACCAGCCATAAACTGATGTATTAAAGACATATTAAATACAGTGGAATCAATAATATGGATTTCATCTAACTTAATTTGTTGATAAATTTTTAGAAATATTGTGGTATATATTTATATAATATATATTAAGATAGATTCATATGTATATATAGAAACATTTATATATTTAGGAACATTTTTAATTAGAACAGATTGCTCCAAGCCCAGTCCAAACTGACCTTGAATGGTTATAGGGATGGGACACATACAACCTCTCTGGGCTGCCTGTGCCAGTGTTTCACCACCCTCTTTATAAATAAAAAATATATAGATAATTAAATATATAAATATATATGTGAATAATAAATATATAATATATATGTCACTAACTATATATATGTATATATATGTGTATATATATATATATATGTATATATATAACACTGATACCATATTTTTAAACAATATTTTTCAGGGGTTTTTACTCAATAGCTGCACATAAAAATTCTGTTTTGTTACCATGCAAAATAATAACATTAGAGGAATCAGTCTACAGTGATTTTTACATTTTCTACTATCAAGATCATGAATTCCAGTCTGTGGGGAGTGGATCAGCATCAAGACCCACGGTGACATCTGCACTGTGCTACAGGGTGTGTAGCAGACTCCCTCACCTGTGCCTCATGTCTCACACAGTAACACAAACACTCCTCATTTAGTGAGCTTCCTGATGTTTTTCTCCTTAATTTAGTTAGCTACCTGGAAATTTTGTCTCAGACTGCCCTGTAATCTGGCACCCAGCCCAAGAAAGGACTTCTGAAAGTCACAACTTTGTCTGCTTTCTATCTATACTTCAGGACACCTAGGAAAGAGTAAACATCTGTGCAGTAATCAGCTTTTTAGAAATCAGTGCATGAAATGTCTTGGGAGAGATATACAAGCCTGCAAACACAGCTGCAAGATACGACCCCTGATCCTGGTCTCAGGACTAAGCATCATAAGAGTTTCTCATTCCCCTGTCAACTGCCCAAACAATCAAAACCCACAAATTCCAGCTTTTGCTTGGGTATTTTCTGTAATGCCTTGCTCAAAGAGAAGTTCTAGTCTGAAATATTGAAGAGCAGAGCCTTGGCAAACACTGATGTCCTTTCTTCCTAGGAAATAGCTACAGCCTTCACCAGGAAGCTTTGCAATCCCTGATGGGCTGCCCACTGGGAACCTGGGAGATTCCTTGCCATGTCCTGAGTGCTTTTGCCAAGGCCTGCATGAGCCATTGCTAGAGCCAAAGTTTCCCCTGGGGTGGGAAAAGAGTGAGTTCTTTTGAGCACACTAGGACCCAAATACATAAATCCAATCCATGTTTGAGATCCAAGGTGCTGCAGAGACATAAAAATTATTAGGCTGAGAAGACTCTTTATGAAGCACCTTGAATATCTCTATTTGTGCTTCAAAAGCTCCATGCCTCTTAATGGGAATTGTGGCACATCAGGTTGAGGATAATGAATTCAGTAAAATCAGGCCCTATGTGACTTTTCTGTAGTTTATTCATTCATTCTGAGAGATTTGCCCCCTAGATGTTTTATATCTTTGCTTTCAGTTAAGTCATTTCTCCATTCATCCAGTTAGTAACTTTTCCAGCAGAAGCTGCTTTTCCTTTGACTCCTGCTCCCAATTCCTTTGTCTTCAACCACCATTTCCTGGTTTTTGCTGCTGAGAATGAATGGGGCCCTCTGTGCCCTTCAGTGCCTCAGCCAGTGGGATGCCACTGCTCCTCTATCAGCCTGTAGTCTCCGCCTAAAGTCCTCAGTCTAAAACACTGCCTTTCTCTTCTCCAGCTCCTCCCAAGCTCAGACACTTCCTTTGCACTGACAATGATTTTTTTCTGTCTCCTGCATTACAATTCAGGGTTTCTCCTCATCCTAATTCCAGCTTCATCCAAATTAGGGCTAAAATAAGTGATGTATTTGCCTGGCTGCCTGAAATCATCCAGCAATGTCTTTTCACAATTGGTATGCTCACTGTCAGAACACTAAAATGTTCTTGATTAGGTGCGTGCATTATGTAAGTATTTTATAATTGTCACTAACTATTGCTTTATCTCCACTATTTATTAGTCTGAAAGAAACAAAATAGCAATTACACACTAATTATATGCTAATTAAATAGCATTTATGCCAGTGGTATTCAGTGTATTCAGAAATATTACTTTTTCATTGGGAAAAGAGGGTTTTCTAATTAGTGAACAATTATAACAAATCTACTGTATCTCAAAAAAAGGGGGCTTTTCTAACCATTTATTTGTAAATTACATGTATTTCTAGTATTTTTGGGACGTAAATCACATTATAATTTGGGAGAAGTAGAAATAATTCAAAGACTTATTAATTCATCCCTCCTTTCACACTTATTTATACCATTTTAGGATTATAAATAATCTTTAATATATGCATAGGAAGATAATGAGACCTAAAAGAAGCCTAAAGCTTCCTATCTTATCTTTAAAATTTCCATTTCTCAATTAGCATTATAATAGTACACGTGGTATTATTGATATTGAAAGAAATAACACCCAAAGTGCACATTTGATTTCTTTGTTTTCAGCTCAGTTTCCACAAGCACAACTAACTGGTCCATTTGTCAGCTCCATTATTCATATTTCTTTATACAGCATCCTGAAAAATAATGTATTTTTACAGACTCTTAGAGGCTCTGAACTCTTACATATTTTTAGCAAACATAAGTGAGCTACAGATTGGAAAGAAGCAGTTGATACTATAGGAGAGTTTTACCTTTCTTGTTGAAAATATTAATTCCCAACAAACAGGAATGAGAATAAAATGGGGAAAAAAATAGATAACAATTGCATCTGAACTAGATAAGATTTGTTTTCCCATTTTTATGGAACCAAGCAACACTTCAGTAACCTTACCCTTATTGACAGAGACATTGGTTTGCTGTGTGTTCCCACATTTCGGGGTGTGAATGTGGTATTGAGATCCCTCAGGAATGCAGGTTTCAGCACATAGCCACAACCACCATTGTCCAGGAATTTTCCATCTTGCAATTCCATGTATGGGCCTGGTGTTTGGAAGTTTAGGGCCACTGGAAAATTAGAACAATATTGATTTTAGTGAATTAGGTTTGATAACATTTTGTTAAAAAAATACTTTAAAAGAAAGCAAATGAGCTTAAGGTATCTATATCTCTCAATTCATATGTAAGATCCTGCTATTTCCCTTAAATTAAGTGATACTCAGTTGCTGGAATCTGAAATGTAAGGAATTCTTAGAACTTTGGGCCTGTAAGCCAAAGCTTAGAATTAAACACAGGATTCAATTTGAGACCTTGGAAAAAGTTTCCAGATTTAATTTCTAGAAGCGAGAATGTGATTTATAGTTTAAAGCAGAAACATATCAAATTAAGAAGAAGAAAGTTTAGAGTTTTAGAGTTTAAGATATAGAAAAAATAAAAGTAGTAACAGAGGTAAACAAGGAGTTTAGAATGCAGTACTGTAAGTTTATATGTCATAACATGATTGGCTAAGAAAGCTTACAGCTTACACTGTAACATGAGTCCATAAGATGAAATATTTAAGGATTAGGTCAAAAACATAAATATCTTTATTAACAGTGTTTATTAATCAATAAATCCTTAAAAGGTCTTATAACTAGGAGTCTTGTAACCTTCTAAACCTTAAAGATGTGAGCTGAACTCACCCTTCCTATTTATGTAGATGATAAGAACAATAAATCACATCAAAACAACTCAGAAATCCCATCTCTAACTCATTCAAAATCCCCATACTCATACACCCATAATTATTTGTACACAAAAGCAGCGCACTTTTTAGAACTGTACCCCATTTTAAAAATTACCCTATAGATATTTTTACATTGCTATATCTGTTTGCCCTTTTCTTTCTAAAGTACACCTAGAAGAATATGAAATGAGAGATCCTTTTTCTCCCTAAGAACTGAATTCACATCCTAGTTTCTCTAGAGCAGCAAGACTCTGCACTCCAAAGCTGCTAACAAAGTTCTGGTGCAGAAGTCAAAACCACAGGATTGTATCCAGCCTTAGTTATGGTGCAGAATTCATCTAAAAAACATCTCACCCAGAAGATTTAGAAGCTTTAGTTTACTGTTAGAACACCCAGTGAAAATGCAATATAAGTTTATAGAACTAGAAGCAATTTAAAAAGTGTTCTTAAATTTATGTGAGCACACATTCTCTTGGAGCTTAATCCTCCAGTACTGGTGATTATTGCAAGAATACGCCTGACAGATTTTCCTTTCCTTGGCAGTTCAAAACATTTTTGGTATGCTGCAGCACCAATAATAAAATATCACATTTCTCATCAACAGGATATTGTAATTCATGAGATAAAGCCAACATTGAAATAGACCTGTTTAATGAAATTTTCCCCTATTCCAGTACATTGGAGCTTCCTGTCACGTTCAAAATAGAGAATGCAGAAGTCAAATCAGCAGTGAATGAATGATGGCATTATGAACCTGTGACATGTGTTAAACAGACAGTAATAAGAAGTCATTTACTTAAACTGGTGGATTGGTAGGAATGAAAAAAGACGACTTTAAGCAGTTCAAGTGAGTCCTCGTAATAATTCATGAAGAGGACATTATTACCTGTTTTTATGAGATAATATGAATGTATTGAATGAATGTTTGACATAATGCAAAAAATCCTATCGCAGGTGGAAAATACACAGAATTGTTTTCATGCAAAAATTATTTGTTCCTTCACTGCTTTGATGATCCTTATAAAATGTTCTGTAGCAAACAACACAAATAGGAATGAAGCAGCTGGTACAATGGACCTGATATTTGCACTACACATGTTTTTAGGTAGGGTTACTTCTGAAGGGCTCGGGCCTGGCTCCATAGTCTCAAAACCAATTAATGGGTGGAATATATGAAGTGCTCCCAGAGTGCATCATCTATTTAATCTGACAGGAATCCCATCTGTGCTAGCTAAGATTGCTCTGCATCATGAACCAATATGGAAACCCTGTCTAGAAAAATCCCAAACAAACAAAAAAAATGTGAAACAGCAAAACACAACATGCAGTCCCGCTTGGAACTAAGTGTTAATGTAGATGCAGACATGATTTTATATTAATATACACAGGAAATCTGTTTTAACTTTAACAACAGAATTCAAACTTCACAGTGTTCATATTGCCCTTTGCACACCATTGCCTTTTTTAAACAGGGTAAGTATTTTCTTGGTATGGTTTTGGCAGTAGTTCACAATTTGCTTTTCATGGTCAGCGCATCATCCAGAAACAGCCCCAGATTTGGTGCTCTGTGATGCTTGTCATATTTTAATACATTGAATCAAGCTGTGCAGAGGATGCTACAAGAGCTGCAACCCTGAGGCCCCTGGAAGTCTGAACCACAGATAACCCAGGGCCTCTCAGTCCTCAGGTGATTCCTGGGCCACACTTTCAGAATATGTGGGCTTAAAAGTGCAACTGAAATAAGGCACATTGAACAGTCAGCTTCAAATAGCAGCTTCCACATGATGAACCAAATTACATGATTGCACATAATGAGACTACTGCTAAATTTACCAAGCTTTATAGGCAACTAAGCAGGAAAATCTGATGTAACAACAGCAACAAGCAAATGAGAATACTTTATATTTTATCATATTAGGAAAATTACTTTTGCAACACAAGTGAAGGGCAATGTTATTATGGGTTCATATCTTCAAACATCAACACTGTGTTTTCACTTAATTTAATTTGACCTTAGAACAAGTTAAAAAACATATGGAACAGTAGTTTTCATTTACCTGCTGGTTTCTTTGTGTTGCAAGTTTTAAGGTGATTAAGCAAATGTGAGATTTTGTGTCATATTCTCTGAGATGGAAACCTCTACTAAAACTGTTCACAGGGTTCATAGCTGCTTGGGGCCTCCCAGGGCCCTGCTTTATGGTGCATTGATGCACAGTTTTTCTTTTTAATCAGGTGCAGTTATAGCCCTAACACTTCTTGAAAAATGGCAAGGATCATAAACCAAAAGCTGTGCCTAGCAGCATGGGCTGAGGAGCAACTTTCTGCAAACAACCCTGAATTTCTACCCAATGTTTCATTTTAGCTTTGCTGAATTCAAGAGCAGAGCTGTCAATAACATCCTTTGTACTGTTTTTTTATGAAACATTATAAATTTAATGAATGTATGAAGAGAGATTTAAACTGACAGTTTCTTTTGGAAATAAGCCTAAATGAGCTTGCAGTGCAACCATCTGAGCACTACATAATCTTGATGTATGGTTTTCATGGGGAAGTAAAGGCATCTTTAACACTGTGTACATTAAACTTTTTCCTTAGTCCTTTCATTAAGCACCAAAAGCCTTTAATATTGACTCCAAATCAAAGCAGAACAGCAAAACCTGGGCTTGGGGAACGACCTGAGCAAAGGAATTCCTCAGTGTGATTCCTGCACCTGAAATGGATTCAAGTATTCCTAGAACCACGAGGCTGAGTCCCCCTCAGATCAGAGTATTCCATACTCAAATCACCTTGCAAAGCACCAAAACTGCCGTGGCTGTCCCAGGAAGCCCCAAGAGTAAATAACTTCATATAGCAAATAACTTATATAGTAAATAACTTATATAACTTCATATAGCAAATGGAAGGTAGGAAATAGCCCAGCTCCAAAAAAGATGAGCCATTCCATAATTCACAGAGCAGTACTATTTTTGACCCCAAATCTCTGTATCACAAGCAGTTAACTGAAGTCAGTCCTATAACCAAGTGCAGAACTAAAGACATTCTAAATATTCATATACAGCACCTTCCATAAGCACCACAACTCAAGACATAATTGATTTATAATCTAAAAGCAAAAGCTTTTTAAAACCAAATGAGCACTGTGAATATGATTTTAGGGCAGTTGAGAAAAACTGCACATCCTTTGTCTGTTATCCTGCCTCTTATTAATAGTCCTAGTGGAACTTTTAAAATGTATATTTTTTTTCTTTTGTTCTTTGCTTCCTGGTTCTATTACCTATATTACAACCATAAAGTTTAATGTATTTTCCCATTCAAATGGGAAGATTTTAAAATGGATAAGGACACATTTATCACCATTTTTTCTTAAAATGAGTTACTTAATTGCATTTTTTGCCATTTAAAAATGCTTCTCAAAGTGTATGAATTTTATGCCATTTCAAAAAATACCGTATGCAAAAAGCACTCAGTGCTTCCTATCTCCATGATTCACCTCACTCATTTGAATCTAAAGAGATTTAATAGATCACAATTTAATCAGCCTTGTTGCCTTCCTCTCAGCTCTTTCCAATTGTCTGTGTTCTTAAAGTGGGCCACTCACAATGAATGCAACAAAAAAATCTATGCCTTAGATATTCAAAATCTGAACTGAATTGCACACAGCCTGGGAAATCCTATTGAAAACAGGCCTGTATCCCAAAGCTCTGGAGTGCTGCCATTGGCCATGAGATGATCAATGTGCTTGGATTTGAGGACACTGTGCATTTCATTCCACATCAGCACTCCAGGCTGGGCATGGGCTGTCTAGGCTTTCTTCTCACAAGCAGGTCACAGCTGCACCCAATCCATCACTGCCCAAATTTACAGAAATATCTCAGGAGTCCAAGAAAGATGGAACAAGACTATTTGACTGTTTACAAGGGCATGACAGGACAAGGGGGAAGGGCTTCGAGGTGCAAGAGAGTAAACCTGTGAATAGGTGAGACCTCACACAAACTTTATGAACAAGGACTTTGGTCTACCTGACCAAATATAAAGAAAAAACTCATTTTTTCCTACCAGAAAAAAAAAATTATACAATGATTGCTTCCCTTACAACACAAAGTTTCTATGGACAGTATAAATTTTGGCATACAAAGTCTCACCTCTCTTCCAGGCAAAAAAAAAAAAAAAAATCAGTCAAACTGTTATTTTTTTCCCTCCTCTAACAGACTCCAAATTTTATTAAGCTTAATGATAATTCCTGGCTTTATTTTTCACCTACACATTTTGAAATGGTTGTTTTTATTCTACAGAAAATTGATTTATGAATGACTTACAACGTGAGGGAGGAAGAGGGACTGCTCTTCTGAGAACTGAATAAATGCAGAACTGTGACATAATATGCTTATAATGTTTTTTTAATTGTCTTTGGGCCAATTTAATACTGTGGCTCCAAAGATACTGTCAAAAGAAATGTGAAGAATTCAGTCATACACTTCATAATTGCTGACATTGTTCCTACTTAATTACAAGTGGTTCTACTGGAAAAAAAAGATGTCAGGTGATTGAGTCATCCATTGTCCCAGTATATCTGCAAAGGGTTTAAGTAGGGATCCTCTCTTGTGAGGTTCTCATGGGAAAAGTACCTAAAGCATTTCTGATAAATTATCAGGACTAAAAATCTAATTTGATTTGTGCTATTTAATTAATGTATCAGTCTGAAATTCACACTTTAGTGTAAGGGTGAGCATCTTTTGGCTGTTATTTACACCTGAAAATTTTCCAAAATTTTAAAAATTTATTTAATTTGTGATTCTTGGCAGAACAGTGAATATTATCAACTTCCCTTTCCTGTTTTAGTCTGAATCACTGACAGATTTTAGAATAAGTTCTGCAAGGACTTCAGAAACAATTGCGTTCCTGCAATTTCCCCCCCCCCCATCTTCTTTTAAAATTTATTAGACTCCACATAAATTATTTACTACTCTATTGGTTGTCTGCAGTGAAGACAGCTGGAAAAGCTGATAAAATGGAATTTCAATGTTTCTTTGCTTTTATGTGAAATCCCAGTATCTATTCCACACACCAAAAACTGCCTAAAAAAAAAACCAGGCTACAGAGTAGCCCAAGAGCTTTTTCATAAACCTGGCAGCAGGCACATTTCTGCAGAAGAAACATGAAACCTTCATCCAAAACAGCTCCTAGCCTTTGGAACCATTCCAAAGGAAAGCTGAGTGCATTTGTGGAGCTTCATATGTAGAATCATATTGTCCCACCTATCTTGTAGATGTCTACACTCAAATTAGCTGCACCACTTCACTCCTAGTGGGGATCAAATCAATGAACTTCAAGGGACAACATTAAAAAAAATATTCCTCTAGTTTTTACTTCCCAGGGAGGCATTTTTGGGCTATTAAAGCCAATAGAAGGCAGCAATAATATAGTTATTGACACAGCACCCAAGCAGGGTCAGATTTGAGCCATTTTGATTTTCTCAGGTGTGGCATACCAAAATTAGTTGGTTTCTTTTCCCTTGGTTGCTTCAGAGATTGAAATCAGAACTGGTTAGAGAGGTCTTTATCCCTCCTCTTTTCATATTTTGTCATATTATTGCACACAAGACTGAGCCACAAAACAGATGTGAAAAAATTTGCCAAGCTGCATTTCAGTGTCACAGGCCAAGACAAAACCTACAGTAAGAAAACACCCATTATCCAAGCACAATTTTCACAGCAGCATATGAATTTCATGCACGCTCCAAAAAGCACATATAGGATCTTCTGAAACAAAATTCTGTACCTGCCACACCATGGCTTTCTCCTGTAACTTATGACATGTTTTGGTCATGCCTGTAGAGTGCTTTGATACATTCATAACATTTCCTACTGCATGGAAATGCCATATTCAATATGATAATTAAATCTTTTTTTTTTATTTTCACTGTAGCTCTCTTTTGTTTCAGATTTTTTGTTGTTTTTCTCAATTGATATAAAACAACTGCCATCAGTTTATTTAAATAACTGCCCTGAATTTTCTTTCGCTGCATAAATCTTTCCATTTCATTTTATTTACTAAAGAAAAAGGAGACATGGATACACCAAACCAGTTCTTTCCAGTGCCTCACTGCAGTTGTATGCAGAAGGCATACTAATTTTCACAGACTATGAAAAGTGGGGTTGGTGTTTTTTTTCACAAAACCTCCTGTTCTTATGAGTCTCCATTTTCAGAGAAGAGACAGGGAGTGCACAGCGATATCCAAAAGCTATTTTGTGGAAACTCTGTACTTTTCAGTGAGCTTTTTAACTTGCCTTCCTCTGGAAATTAGGTTTACACAATTACATGTCCCATCCTCAGCCCCAACAAATCTTGAGCCTGTTGGACCATTTCATCCTGCTTTAGCTGAGTGCCAGCCTGCTCCAAGTTAATGTGTTCCAAGCAATTTAGAGAAAATTGCTGGCAAGGTACAGGAGAGAGACTGTTTTGGGTCCATCACTAAAGGGAAGTGAAGGAATAACTCAATTCTCATAATTACAGGATGCAGAGGCCTGGCAGGCAGTATTATATGTTAGGTTTGAACAAAACCTAATACATTTTCTTTGCCCAGCCAGAAGAAGTTATGGATGTTAAAGGAACTTGAAGGCAAACTTGCAGGTGTGGGGAGGAGAAGGGAGGTAAGAAGGGGAATAGGTGGCATAGGGGAAACCTGAGAGCCCTTTGAAGAGTTTTAGGGAAGTGGCAGAAGGGATCTGGAAGGATTACTTCTGTGCACGGGGTGTAAAATACAAAGGCAGGGTGTGTAAAGTACACACAAAAAGTATGTGAATTATAGAAACATGGGACAGACATAAGAAATCAAAACTCTGTGTTAAATCAGTGGAAGGACATCAGCAGAATGTTCACTGATACACTCACTCTGGGAGTTGCATCGTGGAGAGCAGCTGTAGTTCTGCCAAACACTTATCTGAAGCAGATTACGGAATTAAGAATAGATCTAACATTGCTTGGAAATTATATATGTGGAGAATTGGTTTTAATCCGCCTATTCCCATGTGAAAAATGGAGGGGTTTTTAAGTAAAGATGCAAATGAAGTGACCAAGAGAGCAGATCTAACCACTTCCTGCATATTTTTCATTCTTCCAGGAAGGGGCCCAAACCCTCTATGCACCAAAAGTCGTATGTTTTGCATACTAATGTTTAGAATGACTTCTCATTAAAGTATACTCTGAGTAAACAATCAGTATAGTAATTTTGAAAGACTTCAGCCTTGTCTGTGATCTAACAAATGGATATTCTTTCAAAGATAAGTGTGGAGATTTACAGGCCAGAAAGAAAACTAGTAAATTGCAGCATGATAAGACTGAGAGATTGATTCCATTTTAAATTAAGGATCTCGGGCAAGTTATTTCTCTAAGCATGGAACAAATTTACTAGTTTTTAATGGCAGTATGGAGTGTAGATAGCAATGCCAGCATACAGCACCCCAGTCATTAATCCAGAAATTACACTAAGTGTGCATGAACCACAAGGACAGAACATAATCAAACCAATTGCTCACACTGTGGTAATGAGAAGATACTTGGATAGCCCAGCCCAAGTCCAAATCTCTACTACAAATAAGCATTTATAAGGACACAGAAACAAGTAAAATTTATACTAATTAGTAACTTTTGTAGTCCTTGTGTAGTTATGTAAAACTCTACCCCAATATAAACAGTCAGGATGGAGAAGGTAACTTGTCACAGGGGATATATGGGGAACTGAGAAATTAAAGAAGTGGAAAAGGTAGCCTGGAACAAGGGTGACATAAGCTCCAGGGCCCTGCAGGCAGAGTGGAGGCTGTGCCTGTCCTTGGATGAGTGTGTATTTTAACATAACAAGGTGAATCCAAACCTTTCACCTCCAAACCAGGAGCCTGCAGCAAAGTGCCCTGCTCACCCACAGCCTCCCTCTGGTGCCCTTGGCCAAGACTCAAAGACAGAATATATTTGTGAGTACAAAACAAAAAAAAAAACAAAGCTCAACTATTCTGCTCTCCTTTACTTAGGGCTGAAGAAGATGTAGCAGGCAGACATAGAAAAATATTCTGTAATGAGAATCTTTCAAACTGAAGAACAAACAGATGAAGGTAAAATTATCTCTAAGGCCATAAAACATTAAAATAATGCCACTGGTGGGAAATATGCAACCTATGTAACACCAAAATACTACAGAAAGCAAGAAACTCTTGTATTTGTAAAGCCTAGAATGCAATAATCTCTGCAAGGATACATACCCATTTGACACCCTACGTTCCAGAACTCTTGAGGATTATAATTTGAAGATTTCATTCTTGATCCCTTGGGGTAAATTCTTGTAATAAATCTTGTAGTATGTGCAATAAACTGGCTAGCTGATAAACAGAAGGATAAAATCTTGGTAAGAAAACCTTTGCTATTAAAGAGGTCCTATTTGAAGAGATAATAAAAATGCATTCATTTTTATTATTTATTCAAATAAATAATAATTTTTTTCAGCAATTTTTTACACAATATTATATCAATGTATTCTATTTCAACATTAATACATGGACCACTCTGAACTATGCCTAAAATCTTATTTTGAAACCTTAATATCTTCCATGCATTTGAATCTGACAGTATTTCTGTATAAAGTGCAGACTTCTGTAGGAAGTTCATGAACCAAAAATCATTCCTTCACTGGAATATTCTGTTTCTTCATCTTTTTACAGGGTAATTATATGATTTCTACACTAAAGCCCACTGTGTTCTCATGGGAAACTAAGACACAGAACAGGGAACTGCACAAAAGTTTCCTCATTCTATAGTAGCTCAAAATGAAAGAGAAAATCATCTCTAGATGATCTTGGCTTGTTTGCTGTTAGGAGATTTAAATAAAATTACTAAATAATATTGAGACCAGGGAAGAACATACTTTTAAAAGCCACTTGAATTATTCTTATATAAGCCTCAGAAGTTGTTAACTATTCATGAACATTGTTTTTTCTTCTGCTGGCTGTGTTCCCTCCTTTCTCATATGCAGGCATAGACTACACAGATGTGGGAAGCTCCAGATGCCTTCTATCTACATGATTCCTTGTTAGTTATTCAACAAAAATCTACATTTCCAGGCTCATCTCTCTGATATGTTCCATTCTCCTCTCATAATTTTTTGTTTGTTTAGGGGTTTTGTGTGGTTGATTTAGGTAGGGTTTGTTGTTTGGGGGTGGTTTTTATGAGGAGGGGTGGGGTTATATAGCTACTTTTATATTCCCTAGAGTACTGGAGGAACAGAGAGGACTCTCTGTGGATGGCTGGAAAATCCTACTTTTTGATGCATCATTCACCTCACCAGGCACTGAAGCGCCTCCACAAAGTGGGTGGGTGGCAGCAGGGCTGGCCCCGAGTGAATGGGCATGTGGCAGGGGTCATTGTCATTGCCATTGCCATTGCTATGGGGATAAAGGGTAACTAGCGGTTTAATTGTGTTAGGAGCTCGCGTCTTAAGAGAGGAACTTACTTGCTGCAGCAAAAAGTCTAAATATGAACAACACTGGACAAAACTAGACTAGGGAAGAGCTTTTTTTATTGTTGGCACATCAGTCTCAGAACATTGTTACAATGGAGACAGGATGTTAACAACTCGCTGATCTACAGGGAAATGCTTCAGAAGGTGGGGTAATACGGAAGGACATAAAACCATCTCAGTCTAGATTTCAGCCAATCATACACAGAACGACACATATTGACAAGCATTCTATCTAATCTTATAAAACATATGTAATGGTAGTTAAAACAAAGACTGGTTCATAAGAGACAAAGAACAGAGCTCTATTTATGCTAACTTTCTAAAGATAAACATTAAATAACCTTGTTGCCATCTTAAAGCTAATTCTACAGAGGCTTGTCGTTATTTGTCACATATGCTCTACTGCTTGGGAAACTTTTCTGCTGTATCTTCAATGCTAACAAAACTTCAGTTTAAGGCTTGTACACTTTTTAACCATTTCCTAAAAACCCTCTAACTGTAGGGATTCCAACAATTGCCATTGCCATTGTCACAGCCGGTGATCTCTGCTCTCCACACCCCCAGAGCCCCGGGCAGGCAGCTGGAGCTGGAGCAGCAGAGGCTGCACTGTGCTGCCTCCACCAAACGGAGATGCTCCAAGGCAGAATGGGTTTGGAATAGCCCAGCTTGGCTGGGATGAAGGGTGTGCTCCAGTGGAGCAAACTGCCTGCTCTGGGCTTTATCCAGCCCTTTCATGAGGGCTCTTATCTGCAGCTCTCACCAAAGCCAGGGCACTGCCAAGCCAGCTCCACTTTCTCAGCCCAGATTTTGGGAAGTGGGGAGGGGGAGGAGTGAAATTTATTCCACACTTTTTCAAGTACTGGCTGAACTCTTAAATTATTTGATGCAGAAAACAATGAATCAAAAGGCCGAAATTCATTTTGTAGACTGTGTTAATATTTGTTCTTATAAAAATACACGGAATTAAAACAAAGTTGAATATCAATTTTCCCCACAAAACCAACAGAAATTTAAAAAAATGCTGTTCAAAGGACATTTTGAAAACAGTATTATACAAAGAACCAAATAAAATCAGACAGCAGGTGTTTCATAAAATTTTAACCATTCCAATGCCTAAGCAGTGAACCATAGCAACAAGTAACTTTAAACTAATTAACTCAAAAGAAATTACCTGAAACTCTTGCAAGTTTTCGTGCTCGAGACTCTCCAATGGAATTATTTTCCCAGCACTTCTGAAACTGTATGGAATGTTCAAAGCCCACAAACTTCTGAGATTTTGTATAAACCACAAGGTCTGACAATGCAAGGGCAATCTTTGTCTTCTGCACCTAAAAATCATCAGATGAATAATGGAATAAAAAAAGTCACAATAATGCATATTTCATTATTATTACTATTAATAATTCACAGAAACAATAATTTTGGATGCATAAAGCATGAGAAAAGATGCCACAATTAATGAATTTAATAAATATGACCTTTAATAGTGAGATTTGATCTAGTGAGAGAAAACTGAGGTTATTTTGTTCATGTTCATCATAGTAATCATAGGGTGAGTGGAGAGATGCTTCCTAGCAGAATATTCTGCATAGCTTTACAGTTTTCCTGCTTCTAAGATGTTTGCAATAACATCATTTTTCTTGGCTTTTAACATTACTCCAAAATATACCTCCAACTTTTTATTTGTAAATATATGAAGTACTAGAAAGGACCAACAGCATAAACTCATCTATAAAATGTAGAATAACAGGAAAATATTACACTGTGCCAAGCAAATTAGTCAAAGGCATATTATTCCTCTAAGCATTGCTCTGAAGTCAGGAAAACTCTTTTCTTCTTGATTAAGGTCGAAAATTCTCTCAGCAATATCTTAATTTAGTCTTGCTCCATTACCAAAACAAGCAGAAATGACTGACATTTTACCAGGGTCTTCTCTCTTACAGTGAGGCACTACATGACCACTTCATTTTCCACAGCACAACTTGTGAGCTAATTGGGGGCAGCAGCCAGCAGAGAGCTGCTGATGCTAATCATGTTTACATTCCATTAAAGCTTCTGAAGGCAAAGTCTCATCTGACAAAACAACAGAGTTTGCCTCCTCATGGCTCTTAAACTATGCAAAGTTCAAGAGCATTAATTATTCTGAGGCTGTGTCCCACGAGGAGCAATAGGAGTCTGCTGCCATGGAAATCCTGAAAAATGCAACTTTCTGGAGGCAGGCAAAGCCAGCAGCTTCACTGGGGCATCTTCTGCAGATTCAAATGCTCTCCCACCCTCCCTCCCAAAAGTGGGATAGCATGGCAAATACTCCAACAGAGTGGAACCCTGGGAACCACTTTCTCTTCTGCCTGTGAAACATGAGCAGATACTTTTTGTTGCTGCTGTTTAAGAGTATTCCACAATACATTGTATTGTATTCCACAATACATTCTCATCTGTAAAAAGGTCCTACAAATGGACTTGAAAACTTTTGCCTAAAAATTTGACATTTCCTGTTCAAAGAAGACTTCATCCTTCCCCAGCATTTTTCCGTGCTCTTTCTCCATGTCAGATGGAATGAGAAAGAAGCAAAAACTTTCACCATCAAATTATACAAAAAGAAAGAGACACTGTTTCTCAGCAAGAACACTGCGCTCTGAGGAACATTGCCAGTTTAGCCACATTTAGGTAATCAGAGCATGATGTGCAAGAGAGACTGGACACTTCAGGTGCTGCTTGACATCTTAAAAAAGTTGAACAAAGCAGTTTCAACTCTAAGAAAGCAACGGATTTTCAATGGTAGAGAATTATACTTGGTTAAAAAAAATAAGTTCAATTTGATTTTCAGATGGGAGATTACACCCAATTTTTACACTTCTTTCAGAAATAGTGCTCAATGTTAAGTCTCTACATGATAAATGTTAAAATGCCTCTTCAATTCCAGGTGCTGAAAAATGTTTCAGCACAACCAGGAATGTGCACCAAGTTTAATGTAAAAAATCACAGAACAGAAGAAAATAGGGGAGTCTATCTGTCTTAAAAATAGACTGGTAGACTTGGGGAAGAAATAGTTAACTCTGCCTGTTGTCATCAGGAAGTGCTATAAATGTTCTCTATACATAGCTCCAGGGGGCCATGGTGCCAACAAAACACTTGGGTATCTTCATCTTAAATCTACTGTGGTACTGTGCACCTGGGACAAGCACAGAAAGAGGAAAATGGGGTTGAAGTTCAAGATGGGACCACAGGGAGGTTGGATACTAAAATGTGGTCCAGTCTGACTTTTCTTATAAAAATAGGAAAACTCTGAAAGCTTCAGCTAAAACACGTAATTTCCAAATGCACTGATCTTAGCAATTTTAAAGTTTCCCTTTTAAATTTAGTCTCTATTTTAAGATAATATAGTCCTTCTTAAAAAAAACCCAAAAAAATCTATGTGTTCTCTATATTCAATTGAAGCAAAAGTTACCTTGCTTTTTTTTTGAGGTGGAGGTGAAGATCTACGATCTCCTTTTCTTTTGGAAGGACTCCTGGGTCCTCCAGGAGACAGAACTTCTGCGTCATCATCATCAGAGGGAACGTCAGAGTCAGACACTTCCTCTGCCTCACCACCATACTCCTCCTCCATCCTGAGCATGCTTTGCTCAAGTGTTCCAACTTTCTTATTTTTTATCAGAACTTTGAATTTTAATGCCTGTAGAAAAGAGGTTTAACAATAATAACTAGAATTATGTAGGTTTTTCATCTCTTGGTATTATTGTTTATTAAGTATAATGAAGTGAGCTTATAAAATGAAGCAAAATAGATATGAGTGAGGCAGAAGCCAAAGCCAAATAAACCAAACAGAATCTGGGGACCAAAGTACACAACAGAATGTGGCTATCTAACCCCATGACAGCAAAAAAGGCTCTCCACCACAGGCACACAGATGCTGAAGCTATGAAAACATAAAAGCAGGAAGTAAGAGCCAAAGGCCATAGCCAGGCAAGACAGAAAACTATATTTTTTTGCTATGCCTAAATGTCCTTATATATATGTGTTTGTGTGTGTGTACTTAAAGTCATGTCTGATATTAATTTGGAATGTTTTCATCTATCATTGAGGTTGCAGGAAATTTGTCATTTGATTTTTTGTGCATATCTGTCTTGTGTACCAAATTAAAAGTTTTGTTTATACCTTGTGTTCTTTACAGTAGATCCTTTATGCTGATATTACCCGGTTAAGGGAAACAACAGTTTGGTGATTTTGTCTAAGCAGTTTCTCTGTTTATAAATGAGCATGTATCAACCTCCATAATATATAATGTAAAGGGGGAAAAGCATCTCTCAATTATAGTGATTCTAATAACATGGCTTTCATCTATGCAACAGAATTATTTGAATATACATTTCACTTTGATTACAAAATTATATTTATAGCAAAGCTGCTATTATGTAGCAGACACTCAAATCTACATCTGGACACTGGAGCTGCCAGTGAGTAACAGGACTTACTATGGCTCTTGAATAAAGTGATCCTCAAAAATATTCCTTAAATTTCCTATGCTCCAGTGAAAAGGGAGTGTGGCAGGAACAGGGAACAAATCATTTCACAATAAATGAAAGGTAACTGAAGTGCTGTAGTTTGAAGTATCCACTAAGTAAATATCAAAGGTGTGGATGATGAAAACGTATAAACCCAAAGTTCTATAATGGAAACCAGAGCCATTATAGGCAAGGACAGAGACACTCCATGCATTGCCATTGTGGCTCCATTGCTCATAATCCCTTTATCATTTCAGATTTCAGGCTGGTATTTTGCCAGGGTGCCAGTGCAATGAGACATCCCATGCCCAATATCTATCAGTGCCATGCTGCTGGGAGGTTTGATCAGTCTTTCTGCACTGGTGACTCAGAATAAGGATGCCCTTTAACATTTCCTTCATTTCTTATTGATGCACTCTTTTTTTTTCCTTGTGATATTTTTAGAAGAATTTTAATATTATTAATGCTACCCATATTTTTTAAGAGTTCTGAATTTTCCTTTGTATGTTCATATTTCCCAATGTTTAAAAGCTATTCTATCCATTTTCAATCTTGTATTTTGTTATTCACATGAAGACTTAATTCTACAAATTAAAAAAAACCCAAGCCTAGTATACAGGGGAATAAAACACTTTCTATGGTTACATTATTGCCTCCTGTATGCAAATTTCTTTAAATAAAAAAGACTGTAGAATGTGTGTGCAGTTATAAAAAAATGGGTCATGATGTTTTAAGTCAGTCTCTAAAATTCTGTTTACAAACTGTTAGCAAAAACGTAAACACCCTGAGGTAGGAGGGGTTTTTTTGGGTTTTTTTCTACAAAGATAACATTTTTAAATCATGACTCATTTTAGAAACAGTCATAAAAAATACCCCAATGATATGAAAGTTTGCTATTTTTTGGCCAGCAGCAAATTGTAATAATAGTTACCCCAAATGGTTGAAAGTGAAACACAGAGTGAAAAAATGACATACCAAGGATTTTGTCTGAACTTCAAAGATCTTCAAAAAACTTACAATAAATGTATGGTTGCAAAATGACTGTGAAATCTGAGTTCTTTAATTGGTAATCAGCACTGCTAAGCATGTGACACCTTATTTCTCTACAAGTCCAAGTCTTCCAAGAGAGCTGAAAAGTCTTTTAATAAGCTGAAACTCTGAGCATTCACTAAAACTTCTCCTTTCTAGTTTCATTATGAAAGGCAAAATAAATTTGCTGTTTACCTCTATATAAACTGTAAGCATACTAAAAAATTTAAATATGTAAAACATAATAGGTCTTCCCTAGAGCATAGAGGGACTTTAAGGCTGGCATAAGCAAAAGCCTCAAAGTACAATCAACTGGAACAAATATTTACATAATTAAATGAACAAAAGTCTGGTTTTTTGTATATTCTAGTTAATGTGATGTGCAACACAAATCAGCTGAAGCAATGCCAAGTTTCCAAGACAAAAATCACAAGCACTTTGGATCAAGCAAACCCACCTATTGATCTCTGTGATTATGTAATGTAAAAATTCACTTCCCAAAAATGTAAGGAATAAACCCTGGATTTGAGATATAAGTATTAAAAAAAGAATAGTTTCTCCAGTTTAAATTTAGCTTGTTATTCTCCCTTCTCCTCTCCTTACCAGCTGTAGGTGCTTAGTTAGAGGAATATCAAATCCTGAAAATCTTGCTAAGTAACAAGGTTAAAAATCTCTTCTGACTTTTACATAATATTCTATTTCAAGAATTGTGTTGCTGCCTTAAATTCTGATATAGGGTGAAGATGCAACACCTCCTGTGAAGTCTAACACAGGGAAAGGTTTTGAGACAATGACAAGATTTGTTAAGCACAACTGTTAAAAAAACCAAACACCAGCTATCTTTAACAATTCAAGAGAATCAGACTTAGTGAAGTGTGAATGAATGTCTTTGTGGCAGCCTTATAAATCACACCTATCAAGATACTTTAAACCAATACTACCAGCAATGTCCGAGCTCTGGGCAAATAGATATTAATTATATCAGGAGCAGCATTTTAGCTAGCTCATAACAAGCTTTCATACAACACATTTACCCAGTGAGAAGCTCCCTACCCCGAAAATTCCACTTCTGTATTGTGCTCTGTAGTAAACTTCAGGCAAGTCTAGTCCAAGGTTAAACAGCTGTGCTACAGCTGAGATGATATTCTACAAAGGCAGCTAAATCTCTGGATGGATTGGAAAGAAATCCAAAGGATGAATGTGGAGAAAGATGGTTGCAGGTTGGCCAGGATATTAAAACAGTGTGCTCAGAGTCCTCATGGCAGACTCCTTAGCAAAGCTCAGTGTTCCAAGAAGACACCTTGCCAAACAAACAACCTGATTTTTAGACACCAAATAAACCATCAACCTGCCCGGGTGATGATATAAAATATGGCAATGTCTTGCTTTTAGTTGCCTCCTGCAGTTGCTTTACACTACAGGGAATCTATTAACAACAGATAATGGCTATCACATGTTTACCACATTTCTGGGAAAACCATGTTCCCTCAAGAAGAGTGCAATGCCTAAAAATAGTGAAGGAATTAGATGAGCCTTCTGTAAGTACTCAGTATAGCCTAGAGATTCTAGTAATTTTATGAGAAACAATGCTGGTTTTTGGGGGTTTTTTGAGGTCATCACCAAGACGTGCCACATTCTCATATCTTTCTTCTTCTTTTTGTAAAGAATAGATACCATAGACTGATTGAAAGGTAAAAGAAATGTTTTGAATTGCTAAGAAGCAAAGACATTTCTGATGCAAAGACTTGGACAAGATGTTTGCATATTTGTAATTGCCAAAATAAATAGGAATTCCCCTCATAACTGAAGCAACAGAATCAGATATACTGAAGCAGGCTTGATCTTGAATTTCTCAGTGAAAACACTCACTGTATAGAAAAAGCTCCTTTATACACTGAGTAGATAAAGCTGAAGAAAAGTGGGAACAATGAGTCCTGGTTTATGGGGTTAACTGGTTTTCCCCATAAGAGCAGAATTTAAAATGTCCATAGCCCATAAAGTTGTACTGGAGACCTTCTATTGATCTTTCTCAAGGAGATCATTAAACAGATCCTTTTATTTGGACACCACAGGTTTAACAACCATAGGTAGCCTTGGCAATCCTGGCCAGAAATGCTTGTGAATCACCACAATACAGTAATTGATCTTGCAGCTGTGTGATAAACATTAAAGACAACTTGTAAAATCACAGTAGCTGCCACTTCCCATTCAGTTAATCACACATCAATTCCAACTTTGTGACAGGAAACCTGCAAATAATAAAAGTTCCCTAACTATCTGATATATATATCCTGTCAGCAGTGTAAGGCAGTTCAATGCACCACAATGCAAAATAATTGAGGAGCAAATCTTCATCAAAGCAGCGTGTTTACATTCTTTTCTGTGTTACATTGGGTGCATACATGTTTATTTCAATTTGCTGTCAAGTTTCTTAGAGAGGAAGGACACATCAGGGTAAGTAAAACATATCATCTAACATATATTTAACACAATTTTTTCGTATTTTCTAAGTTCATCTGTGAATTGCTGCATAAGACACTTCATTCCTTCACTTCCTATCAGCACATCACCAGGAGTGCTGGTGCAACCAGCAGGGATGTCTGGCACCAGTCAGTGATGCCACATCTAATTCAGTGCAGGAACTGACTCAAAGGACCTGATATTCCAGTGAATATTAGAGGAAGTTCATGAAGTCTCTTCAGAAGCACCATGATGGCCAAGACTGGGGACAGAGAATTTTACCAGGTCTGCTGCTTTGGGTGGCAAAACATCTGCCCTGCAAAGAGGTAGAATTGATAAGTGAAGCTTAAGGGCAGCCTCAGTTCCTCATGGGATAAGGTATGTGTGAAAGAAAGAAACAGAGCAAAAGTCTTCTCTTTCCTCCATATGTAGAGGAAGAATTGTGTGTTGAGATGCTACAGAATACAGGGATTGCAGGGAATTAACAATATCAATATAGTCAGCTGGAAATGTGAATATATGACTGAGGGCAAAGAACTAAAAAATATTTCTTCCTGAAATTTTCTGGGGTTTGTGGGTTTGTTTTTTCAGATGAAGCAAGTGTTGGGAAAAGCAGAGACAAGAAGTGTTCAGTGATCCTCCACTTATATTTTCTGGCCCTCCATGTGATTTTCACTTTGAATTACAATGGTAGGAGACCTCACTGCAAGGTGGTCCAAGGAACCACCTGAGTGGGTTTGTTCCTCATTTTAACCTCCTTCCACACACACAAAATCATCTCAGTGGACAAAGGTACAGCTCAAGATCTACTTAAAGAAGGAAGTAGAAGATTGAACACATAAGAGAAGAGAAAATAATTTCCATGGAAGCCTCCAAAACCTAAAAGGAACCTGTAACTGGGAAATGTTTCTCTGAAGTGTTGTGAGAAACTGTATGGTTTCCCACTTCATGTACACAAAAGAGAACCATTTAATTCTGATCTTGAAGAGCACTGAGCTGGCTTTTTCCCTATTCTTGCTCATGCTCCATCTTGAAAAAAGTGGAGCAGGAAATCATATAGGTGACAGCTTTTTTTTTCCACACTGAGAATCCTTCCCACAAAGAGCATTTTAAATTCATCATTTATGATTCTGTAACATCTCCTTTGCACAGCTTAAGCAAAGCAGTTGAAGACTAAATTCAGAATTTGGCTTTCTAAAATCACGATAAATTTACCATCTTGAAAATGCACAAAGTCCCAAGCTTTAAAGATGTGATGTCACTAAACTCCTTTTGAACATGGACCAAAAGTTGTTTTTCAAAAGGATGCCGGCCAAAAGTCAAGCTGACTACTGAATTTACAAATTCTGTCATAGCTACATATTTCCATTGCTAGGTAAAATCCCACTGATTTTTCTAACATGCTTGATAAGTACATTTAGGAGAAATGGAGATGATCCTAATTTACGTTCATTCTCAAGATAATAATTTATTAAATTCAAACTTTTGTAACCAGCTGAGGACAGGGGTGGTATTTAGGTAATCCTTACACCTGGCACAGATGGGTCTGGCAATTCTTTAATATGTTGCAAGTTCAGGAGAATGAATCTCACCAGTCAGCATTTCCGTACTTATAGACCCAGCAATCCATTTTCAGGCAAAACTGACTCATGAAAACTCTAAGCTATGGAAATATAAAGTATGAATTCCCTATATCACAGTAACCATATGGTAAGAGACATATATCATAGACAGTAATATTTTTAAGTGATTCAGTGATTCCATGTTCACTGATTTTGTGCTTGCTTCAGAGGGTGTATGATATTTGGACATCTCCTACACTGAATCCAGTCATGCTTTGAGAAGCTTTAAAACAAGCCCTCTTGTTTGGTATAGTTTATATTTTTTCCTAATTGAAAAAGCATTTTTTAATGCTTCAAAATTATATTGGACCCCATGATGTAAAAAAATATAATGCTACAATAAAAACAAAAGGCGATAAATGTGAATATTAAATAAATTTATAACAACATTGTTATGGAAATAGAAGAATATGGTAATACTTTAACACATCTTCTGGACAGATTGCTTCAAAAATATTTTTCCTTGACAAATCCTTTGAAAATTACAACCTTTTGTATGTTGTTTTTTTCTTATGACAGTGCTTCCTCTCCACATTTTCATTTGCATTTTTTTTAGCTACTGTAAAAAAAAAGTGTAAAATATAGCTATCACTAGCAACAGTGACAAGTCTAAATAAGTATTTTGTAAATATGCATGTATTAGTGCTACAAGAGATTTTTTAAAAAATTGTCCTTGAAAGAAAATTATGTGCAAAGACTGGAACAGTGGAAATTTATTTGTTTTAGCTTGCAATAAAATTTTCTATACCCATCAAATTGCCTTTTCTGATTTCATATCCCAGGGGTCTCAGGCCACCAGCTGAGGAACACTGTCTTGGGGAGAAACACACTGAGAAAGAGAATGGCTTTGCAGTAGCAGAACACCAAGAAAAACTTCATTATCACTGTTACTGACAAAATAAAATGCTGGTTCAGGTCTCCATTTCAATAACAAGTTTAAATTTCAGGAATTTCCTTCAATTCAAGAAAAAATAAATCAGCAGATAACAGATACAGCAACATGTGCATCTTTCCATGGGGCTTTTTTCTGCTGTTTAAATTTTTTTGTTACTAACGGAAGTCTATTTCTGACACCAGATGTGATCCATAAATTCAGTTCCAGAGGATTAAAAACAAAAAAAAATGAAGAACCCCACAATTTTTTCCATTTCTTTTATAGAGAAAAATGAAAACTTATTACCTCAGGAGAAGGCAGTCGTCTCATATCTACCTCACCATTAAGTGGTGAAGAAAGAAGTTTGTCACCTAGAATACTTTTCAAGCAGAATGCCATCACTTCCTGCTGTTTAGGGCTGCAGTGGTTCTCCAAAGACAGTACAAGTGGATAGGGAGATGACTGGAAACATAATTTTGGGATTTTATTATTAATAAATAAAAATAAGAATAATTGCTTTTCCAAAACATCTTGCAAAAGTCCCCTCAGCAATTGTATTTACCTTCATTTTCAAAGCATGCAGAATATAGATCAGTTGTTTCAGGTTAGTAAGACAATAAAAAAAAGCTCACATTTGTGGAAAAGAGAAAGTACAACTGAAGAAGAAAAAAATGCACCTTCAGAAAGCTAAAGCAGAGGTGGACATAGGCAGAGGTGTAAAAAGAACAGCTTGATTTTGGTTTTAAATGGTAAAATTAAATTCTAAAATTAAAATTGACAACTTAAAGCAGGATTAAATGTCTTTTGCTTTAGTTTATGACAGATTTTTTGGATTACTTTTCAAGCTAATAGTCTCCCCAAAGCTTGTTCAGAAATGATTGCTTTTGCAGAGACAAGCTATGCATTTTTTATTATTTTTAATAATACCATAAACATCTCTAGAGACAATCTATAGTTTACTCATCACAGTACTCAAGCAAAGATAATTGAGTAAAAATTGAAGGTAAAAGTTGAAAAGGGGAAATTGACTAAAAATTAGATTATAACTCAAAAGAAACACATCCATTTAAGCACATAAATAAGTCTCAGAAGTTGCCAGCAATACTGGTGGTTACCAAAACCATAATCTGAATGAAATCTTTGCTCAGGCAGGACCTAAATTGTCAAGAAGGAAAACACCATTTTATTTTTTCCTGTCTTTACATTTTGTCCCATGAGCTTTTGTTAAGAGAAGCAGAGCTCAGCTTGCATGGACAGCTGGGACCAACCATTACCTGTTGTGATTTTATCATCTCATTGGCACTTGGGCTTGAGAAATAAAGTTTGCATTAGAGTTAAGCACAATATGTTGTGTATTAGCAAGAATAGGAGAGTTTTATCCAATGAGTTTTGAAAAACAGTGGAATAAAATCATGGTTTTAATTTCACTTTTAAAATCAGAGATTAATTAAATTGTATAGAGAAAACTGAAGAGAAAAAACACAGCTTTCATTAGCACTGAGAAGGCTAATAACACCTATGTGTAAAAATCCACATAAATTTGTGATCACGGATGTATAAATTCAGACACATAATGCTGGCCTGATTCTGAGATTTGTATTAATAGTCATACAGCACTTGCTTTGAGCAGGAGTTTTGCCAAAAGCCTATACAAAAGCCTGAGACAGCGCCAAAAACTCTCCAGATTTCAGTGCTTTTCCAGAGACAGGCAGAAGGAACCTTGCCCTGTGAGTCACCTGACCAAAAAAATCACTAGCTGCTAACATTTATCAGGTCAACATTCAAAAAAGATAGAAGAAATGGAAAACAAAGTCTCAGACTCATCTATTATCTAAAATTTGTGTCTATTTCATAAAGTCACATATAGGATATAAGACAGACTGATAGCAGTAGAAGAATAAGTGACACAAAAGCCTTTAAAAGATATAAAAAGGGAGAAAAATGTCAGACCAATTCTGAAGTAGCTCTGAAATTTATATTCAATCCTTGTTTAAAGGATCTGATGTGATCTGAGGTGAGAATTGCACCTAAGAGGCTGAGTAAGATCACCTGAATCCTTTGCACGAAGTTTGGTGCATATTCATTATCAGGAAAAGTAAGATCACCTGAATCCTTTGCACGAAGTTTGGTGCATATTCATTATCAGGAAAAGTAAGATCACCTGAATCCTTTGCACGAAGTTTGGCGCATATTCATTATCAGGAAAAATGATTATGATTCCTTTAAAAGTTTTTAAAATACATTAAGAATACATAGCACAATTGCTCTGTAATTAATTTTAACAATGCCCATTGCCACATGCTCTGTTTCATTTTTTTTTACCCTGGAGAATCTATAAGAGCCATGTCCCTGGCTTAGTCAAAGCCACCATCCCAACTTCTTTCTGCAGACATATATCTATACATACCATAAATGCATACTTCTCAATCACATGAATTACAGAACGAAACGGGATTTTGCTCGTTAAAGTGTGACCATGATACACAATAGGTTCATTGTTGTGGCCATCCCAGCAGTCAATCTCCAGGCAACGACATCCTTTCAAGAGAGCACTTCAGAAGAACAAGAGAAATCATTTCACAGCCAAAAGAAAGATACCACACTTTTTTATACATGTTGATGTATTTCTTTTTACAAGCACAGTCATCAATTACAGGAAAACCACCTCAGATTCATCATAAATAAAAATAAACCCTACAGAATTGTACATATATGAGACACACATATTTGCTGTTGCTTATTCTAGGTGTGTTATGTAATAAACTTTCTTAGAGCACTAAAGAATATGGGATTACCAGAATTATATTCCATAAAATGAGGGTCAAAGATTTCAATGAAGGAATTTTGGAATAAAGACAAATTTTCACTTAAAACAGAAGAATAAATATTTTAAATGGTCTTTTGTGTTACTCTTCCAAACTTGCTTGCAATTTTGAGAATGCCTGTATTTAAAGATCCATTGCACTTAGAGAATCAGGTTGCACTTTGTCTTTACATAAGCCAGTTCTCCCCAGCCCACATTTCTATGAGGGAGTGCTAAAGTTTCTCAGGCACCTTGACTTTCCTGCTTTAATTTTAATACGTTAGTGGCATCCCTTAAATTCTTAGGTTTCTAATATTTGACTTGCAACTAACTGAAACATTTCTTATAAACCCTTTCACTTAATTACCAATCTGTCTTTTACACGCTGCTTTTCACGCATTAACAATATGTCAAATATGCCTCTAGCTGATTTTAGCATTTTCCTCACACAAATAATAGATAAAGAGGAAAAGAGAGGGGGCTATACCCTTTTTGCAATTACTTTCAGCAATGCAGCATTCACATAATGGAATTTAAGATACTGTTAATAATTCAGTATTGTTTCTGATAGTTGCAGGTCACTATAGAACATTAAGAGAGCCACCAAAAGAAAGAGTTCAGATAGATGATGGTTCCAACTGCTTTCTCTTCACTAAAGCAGTACAAATAATAGGAATTCTAGACACAGCTCTTCCGAATTCTTAATATATCCTGCCCTCAGTGCTGCCTTTGTTACACAATGCATTTCCATCTTCCCTGCCATCCTGGTCCTCCTCCTCCTGGAGTCACGCACTGCAGAGGCTCCTCCCCTGCTGGCTGCTTGAATGCCCACGTTTTGTGGTTTTTGTTGTTCCTAAACTGCCCACGTGCACTGACCACAAATGTTCTTAACACAGATTTACTCCAACACACATCCTCTATATTGAACAGATTAGAGCTTGCCCAGGATTTTTACCTTTCTTTCAGGGAGTTATTTATTTTTGCACGGTGTGTTGAGATTAAAAACTGATTTAATCATGTACTGTATACCATACTATAGATTTCATTTGCTGCAAGGTTGACTTTCTGAGATGTAACTGAAAAAATAAATTGTTTCCAGTCTATGAACAGATGGTTTGGCAAATATATTGAAAAGTGTGCACATAAAATAAAATACTACTCTCACATTTTCAACTTGTATCTTTGATGGCTTTGTCCCTTATTGCCAAGTAGGATTGTATGTGACTTAGTATTCATTTCAAAAAAACTAAAGAATGTTTAAAATATTAAAAAACAATGTCTAAATACCTGGTATATCCCCATAAATGACTGGGTCCCATTAGTTGGTCAGCTATCAAGTAGGTGTTGTGAGAAGATGAAATAAAATAGTCACACAAGGGCTGGGTCATGTCTTGATAGACGCTCCTGTGCTGGCTTTTAAATATTGAACATTCCTCTGAGTTCATGTACCTTATAAATCCTTCAAATGACATCTGCCTTCTCTTCCTCACTGCACAAAAACAAAAGGAAAAACATCTCTGTCAGGAAGCCACCCTGATGGTTGTATCTATGTCCTTTCTGAAATTTTTAATAGCCAATTCTGAACACTGCTGAAGGTTATACAGCACAACACTTTCCTGAAATTTTAAAGTTCATAACAAATGTATAAATAACTCAAAAATCAGATACATGTGACTCTGGAGCTGAATTGCTGTGGCTCAAACTTCTGAGAGGAAGTAAATGTGTTTTGACACTTTTATTCTTCTATGGACAGCAGTAAGAAGAGTTTTCAGTAGTCCTGATTAAATATAAAGTAAAATATTTTTTATTTAATTTGAAAAGTAACATGACATGCCAGACAATGAAATAAGAGAATCTTCTTTTCCCTTTTAAGAGAACCAGGATTGTTCTCTAAAAGTCGGTAAGAAATTCTCAATATAATCTTGCAGAAACTATGACTCCTAGCACCAAATATCTTCTCCAGGGGTGGAAAAAAAAATCAAATAAATATTGATCAAATCATGTTTAGAAATACTTGAAATAAAAATAACATCTTAACAAAAAAATTTACTGCCCACACAGATGAATTGCAAATCAAGCTTATTACACTACTGCATTTAAGACAAAATTAACTAATTGAGTCCATCCCAGTGATAGTCATCTCATTTGTTCTGCTTTTGACTGGTTTAATGGCAAACAGAGCCATTACACTGCCAGCTATTGCTCCCAATGTCCTGTTTCAAATGCAGTCCTTTTGCAAATGATATCATCTCAAAAGTCAGCTTTGCTCCAAAACAGAGTTTGAATTAGTGAGGGATTTTGCCCAGTTCTTACTCTAAAATAACTTTATTGTCACCCTAGCAAGCCAGTAGTGAACAAGCAGGAAATAATCCAAGATTATTTGATGCTAACAATAACTTAGAAATCAATGTATACAAACTTGAGGACTGGAAATATCTGCAGGAAAATCCCCTTTTCTGCCCTGGTAATTCTTACTTTAACTGTAAGTACCAGAATGCACTAGTTAGAATTGCTATTATCAATCTTTGGGGTGTAACAGAGTAAAGTTTTACACCTGAATGAGAATTTACAGAAAATAATTATTTCTCTATTACACAGGTCTTTGAACTAGAAAACTTGCAATGTTTTACAATGATAAAGAAAAACAGGCGGCCATCCAGACATCAAACATACATTCACTGCACCACTGTTATTCCTACCAGAAGTCTTTCTGAAATTATTCTTCCACACTTCCTTTGATCAAGAATCCACAGACAACCCAATAAAACCATTTCAACAGCTAAATAATCTTATTTTCAGGAAATTTCCCATAATTAGGAAACAGAAGTTTACCCTGAAACTTCCTTGCTGTCCAAAATATTTGTTCAGTTTGATATTACTCCTCTCCTCTGTTTCCACACTCTTTCACTGGTGAAAACTACTCTCACACTTCCCTCATTCCAGTGCTTTCCACAAAAACAAATCCAAGCCAGGGCATCTTTCTGTTTCAGATTTCTGATAATTTTCCTTTTTCCTTTCATAGGAGAAAACAGGATCCTATTTCTTCATGGAATGTCCTGACAAACTGGTACTCACCTTTACCACCTTAGAAGGGTTTACATATTTATTATTTCCTCCATTTTTTTTCTAGTAACTGACAGTGTCTAGTTGCTTGGATGTTCCCTTTCTAAAATAGATATTACATTTGATCTTTTCCAGTCTTTCAATTCATCATTCATTTGCCCCCTATTTTCAAAAGTAACCTTTGACTTGTATTAGCCAAGCTTGTTACAGTCAATTTTCTAAGAACTTGGATTTGTCAACCTGTCTTCACTGACCTGATTACATCATTTAAGAAGGTCCTACTCTGTTTCATCCATATTTTTGACTGAGATCTTACTCAGATTAATAATATTACAGAGGAATTTCTTTGGTCTTTTAACTAAGAGATTTTCAGGATGACTTCCTGCCACACTGATGATTCTTGAAAAGAGTATCCTATTTAATATCTTGACTTAGGTTTATCCCCATGCATGTCTTATATTGTTCTATAGTTGTAACAATTGAATTAATTTTCTACTTTCTATATCTTTAAAAATAATTTTGAATTTTTAAATGTTATTTAAAACATAATACACTCATCCTATACGCTTTGCCTATAATGAATTACATTAACTGTCTGGATTTCATTTCTGATTAATTTATTTTTCATGGTCTGTCTATTTCCCTGAGTAATTACAAGTAGAGCTACTAACTATTTGTATGTGTGTACGAGCATTTTTTTGTTTTCTAATAATTCTTACCTTTACTGCATTTATTTATTAAATCAGTGAAAAATACTGGCTTTTCAAAGCCTTGCTTTTTTTCTGAATTATTTATTATGTTTTCCTGGCTGTTTTTGTCATTGACAAAAGTTAACTGCAATATTCTCAAGAGAAATTAATGTTTATGCAAATGTACTGATGAGCATAATCCCTCAAAAATGAACATTGAGCATTTTTTTTTTAGTCAATATGGACTTCAATAAAACATTCAGCTCATGTCTCCAATCAACAGACTAAAAATCTTTGTATTTTTAAAGAGCTTATTACAGGCCCTTACATTTCTGAGGAATAGCCCAGTCACACTATTTTCTGACCATTTACAGACATTTTCTGCTTCTCCATTAAAGGAAATGGGAATTCATCTCCATAACTATTCCACAGTGAAAGACTTTCATCAAGGCCTTACATTTCTCCCCCTGAGGAACCTCAGTCTTTTTCTCCATTAGGACCTTTTAGCAGTAGCCAGTGTGCACACACATATCCATCCATTCCTTGTAGAAAGGGAAGGCAAGAAAAGATTTCTGTCTTCTCATTGCCTCTTTCTGTTCACAAAGTTCAATGATTTTTTTCTTGCCCTCCTCTTTTGGACAATGTGGAATTCATTTTATTAGCAATACTCTTTTATATTGTTTGGTTTTTTTTTTTTTATCTGATTTAAGAAAAAATTATTTTTGTCATTCCTCCTGTTAAGATAAACTCCAGCTCTGCCATATATACAAATACTGTCACATCAGAGAGGAATTATGGATATAACCTGAGTATTTGAAAGACTCTGATCACATTATACATTATTTTCAGTGTTTATTACATTCTGCTTTCTTATTTATCTTGGAACTTCTTTGAAAGTATTTTTCTTCCTCTTTGGAAAGAAAAAATTGGAAACTTTCATAAGATATTTGCTGCCCTGAAGGCCTAAAGGTACCCTGAAGTAGGGTACCCACACTGAAGCAGAGAAAACAAGAAATCATTCAGTACTGGCCAGAGCCGCCTCCAAGACCTGTTTCCTCCTGGAGTGGAACATAGAGAGTAGTGTAGGTGTATCACTTGGTGAGAAATTGAGGTTTTAAAATGTTTAGTATGTTGTGGATAAAAGGAAAATGAAAGACACAGGGTGTCATCCTGAATTTCTTCTTCATGCTTCTTCTTCCTTCTTCTTTATGAGTTTAAGTGGCATTTTGTAATTGCGCAGAAAAGTCCACATTGGGGGCTCTTTGGGATCAGTTATTGAGTTAAAAAAGAAAATAATCCAGGTGTCAGCTCTTAATTGAATAGTTTAGTCTTAAAAGACCTTGTAACAAAAGATTGTAAGACATTTTGTGCCTTCTAATGAAAACCTGCCAAACCCACAAAAATAAGACTGTTTTACCAATAAAAATATTAAACACCTCAATCCAAATATAAACTACCATCTCAAGTGCCTTCAACCCAAACCCAAAAAAAACAACAGTGGAGGGACTGAATACAATCTGCAGCCCTTTGGACTGAAGTAGAGGCTTGGGAGAGAAAGAAGAGCCTGAGCTGAATTTAACCCCATGGGAGAAAGGTGTTTCCCATGGGTTTAAGTGTACGTGTGTGCTCTTTGTTTCCTAAGAGCTGAATTAGTGATCAAATGTCTGTGTTACTCAGCTCCTAGAGAGAGTGAAGCGGGTACAGATATATTTACTGGGAATTTTAGGGGGGAATTCATGGGAAATACTTGCAGAGACCAGGGTGTTCCTCTGTTGTACTAGAGGGAGGAAGCTTTCAATCATTGTTAAAAGTCAGGCAGAAACATCATCAGATGGAATTTCATACTGTGAAATTTGACTACTTTACATCAGAATGAAACATTCATGCTCTAAGGGAGCAGTAAAGAGAGAACTATTTCTCTGACTAAAGTAAAAATACAGTTATTCCTTAAAGTAAAAATACGGTTATTCCTTTTCTACTCTGAGTTTACATTCTAAGGAGGCTTTTTTCTACCTTATCTACACCTATAACTGGTGCATACTGGAATAAAGTATCTATCTGAACAGTTCAGTTCAGTTTCCTAAGGGCTTTTATCTCATAATCACCTTCTTTTGAAAATTTTCCCTGAGACTGGGTATTTACACACCCTTTCATCCATCTGAACTAGTGTGTCTCACAAATCCAGCCACAGCCATTGTCTTTGTTGAGATTTTGAAGTCATCTTTCTTGCTTCACATGATTTTTTTATGAAATCTGTAGGACTTTGACAGAGATATCTGCTTCATTAAATTTGATTTACATTGGCCAATGGGATCAAATGTTCTCTTCTGCAAATTTCTGCTCTACATCCTGCTCTGTCTCTCTCACACATGCTCAAAAAAACCCCAAAAAACCTTCACGACTGTGTATACTAGAATAAACTGAAAATGGTATTTTGCTTCACAAACACATTCTGGATTACTCAAAGTCCTTATCTGACAGATGCACCAGGCTTATATTGTTATTTACAAAGCAAGCTGTTTTTTAAGACAGGATTGCATTTTCGCTCTGTTTTTGTATTGCCTAGCAGTAAAATAGGCAGGAGTAGAGTCTTTGAGTGGCAGTACATTATAAACAATAATGGGATGCACCTTCTTATCCTCACTCTGCCTCTAATCCTGTCCATGTAAATGAGAAGTATTTTTAAAAAAAAAAGACATATATACCAAGCTAAAAAAATGCTTTTAGTTGGCATTTTTTCTTTAATCTCATTTAATGAGTCAAGGCTTCTATTCAAAGCTAATAGTAGAATGGGCAGATAATGGGATGTTTGGGAAGAACAAAACTGAAATTTGGGTGTTAGTAAGACATAAATGTCAGGTGTGAATCACATATTCATATTTTGTGATCAATTCCATAGAAATGGCTCTTTCTGCCAAAAATGCAAGCTTTTAGCATACACATGAAAAAATCTGTTAGCGTAGCATTTTGACATTAGGCATTTAAATTGTATAATAAAAATGAAAGAGTAATTCCTTCCTGAAGTAGCTATAGTACCCACAGAGAGTAAATTCAGAGTTATCTGGCCCAATATATTTGGAAATGTCTCTGCACAAATGTTAGGGATGCACTAAATGCCGTAAATGGATTTCTTTAATTTATATGTAAAATGTAGTCATTGCTTTCATCTTAATTGTTTTAATCTTGACATACCAGTGCTATCATATTGATGAGAGAATGGTCATTACTATTAGCAAACCTGTCAATCAAGTGTCAAAGCCTGCCCTTTTCCCTCTCTGTAAAGCAGAGGGCAAGGGTGACAGATGAGTCCAACAGATCATCCTGATGAAGAACGTTCTGCAGCAAATTCACAATGACAGTTGCACAAAATGGTCTATCACAATACCATATGAATCATCTCCCACGTCAATCAGAACTGGAACTTCTCAATAAATATGTCTGAGTGGGAGTTTGAATTCACTCAAAGATGCATGAACAATACAGAGATTATTTTGTTCAGCATTATTTCCAATTATGAGACAAACAAATTTATCACAGGTGAAGAAACAACCAAGAATTTGGCTCAGCGTCTGAAATTTAAACCAGACATCAAATTGAACCTATAGAAACATCAGTTGATATTGACAAAGGTGTTTTCTAATAGCCTGAAGATTTTTTCATTTTTTAACTGCATTATAGCTCTTAACTTTCCCATCAAAACAAGTGACACACAATAAAAGGAACTTTCAAACTGGTAACTTGTACAATTAGTAAACATTACTTCCTCTGAAACAGTAGAATATGTTCAATAAAGTACAGTCAAATTTGAAAAGCAACCTCAAAGAATAAGGGCATAAGGAGTCATGTGTTTTGCTGCTATTAGTGGACAGTAAGTGCCTCTTAATGAAATACCCAATGTTCTTCTGTTTCTCATTGAAAAAGTGGCATTTCCCATTTTCTTCTTCCACACCAGGTCAGCATAGAAAACCTGGGTTTTTCATCCCAGAATAAATATTTTCTCCTTGGGTTTGCTTTTCCTGACCAGTTATCAATTCCACCTATTTTCAACGGCTGGGAACCAAGGAAATGAAAGAATTAAACACATTCCACTGAATAAAATAACAGCTTCCAACAAAATGCAGCTATATCCTTTTCATAGCTCAGTGGTTGAAATCAGTGAAACTCAGCAGAAGTCTTACACTTCAACTTGGGCCGCCTTGAAATAGGTGAAGGACATGTCAGAGATTTATGAACCTCTCCTCATCTCAGAGTTCTAGGGAATCAGAAAGGGTGACCAGGCACCTCTGAAAATCTTACACAGGGCTTCTGCAAGGGAGTCAGAGGGACATCAAAGCCTTGTCTGAAGCCTTGCATTATCACTAAATGACTCAAGGGAGAGAAGAGAGAGTAACGAGCAGACAAGAAAAATGGCAGATAAGAACTTTAAGAAAAACAAATTGGAAATGGTCTGTAATGAGTTGAAGGACAGAGTTTATAGAAGGACTAGAAAGAAAAGATTAAAAATTACAGAAAAAAGGAGAGAGCAGAGAAAGAAAGGCACCATGAAAATTAATTAAAACAAAGGAAGAAAAATAATTAGTAGATGAAAAGACATGTTTTCAAATAAATAAAGAGATGAGGTTTTGCAAAACCAAGTCATTGAGAGAAGCACAATAAATCCGAGCTAGATATCAAATAATTTAACTGTGCATACCTTCATCAATGGGTTCATACTTCAGAATAATTTCTAAGACAGTTGTTTCATTAGCTTCAGTTTGAAATTGTTCTTTTGCAAGAAATTTCAGGAGCTGGCCATCAGGTAGAATGTTGCCATCTATTGAGTAAGCCTTGAATAGTTCTTCAAATTCAGGTCTGTGTACAAGAGCTCGATAAATTGCTCTGAAGTCGTCCATGCTAATTATATCTCCTGAGTGTTTGTCAATGGTTTTCTGAGGAAAGAAGCAACCAAAAGATTTTTTTTTAAAAAATCAATAAAACAACATTCATATATCCAAAGTTATGCACCAAACATTTTTTTATAACTGACCATAGGAGTAAGAATCATAGAAGAATCCAACAGTGGCTACAATCAGATTACATTGTTCAACTTTTAGATTATGCTTTGTGTGCTACAAATATTTTATATAAAGTAAAATGGACCATATGACATAATTAGCATCTAAATAAGTACAATAAATTTAGATTTAATGCATTTTAATATTAAAATATATTGTAGAAAATCTCTAAAATGTTATTCATTAAAACAAATGTGCAGCATAAAACTTATCAAGTGGAAAATATATTTAATATAATACCTCTCCAACAGCTATTGACATCATATTGTAAATACTGTCAGTAAAATTTGCATACAAAAACATCAACCAGTAATCTTAAAAATGACATAAGGATGTCCAAATTATCAAGAGACAAGTCTTTTAACACTTCAAAGAAGAAACACTAATAAAAATTGAAGATGATATTTTATAATAACCTATGACATCATGTTCTGTTCTTAACAAGCCAGAATGTTTAACTTAGGTTAATTATCCACACTTTCAGAATTCTTCAATTTAAGCTTGTTTTCATAGAGCTTAAAAAATGTTAGCATAGTAATTAATTTCAGTGTTTCAGTGTAAAAGCCAAAAGAAAAGTTAAAAGGGCAAAAGAATTTGAATAGAATTATATTTTTTACGATTTCTGCCTTTTGTGGTTTTCTCAGGTTTAACAATTCAAATTTTCCTTTAAAATTTTCTACTCAAAATAAGTACCTGCATACAAAATATAAATGTTTGTAACATTTTAGCCTGAAATATTCTTAAAAGTTGCCAAATTAAGAGAAATCTGCTGACAAAATTGCTCACAAAAATAAAAAATTAGGACAATCTACTGCCTCAGTGATCATCACTGTAAATTGATGAAAATTCCTAACTGTTGGCTCCTTAAACAGAAAGTGCCAAAGAGGCCAAGTTCCAGCATCCAAACCATGGCACTTACAATGGCTGGGTTGGCTTCCACCAAAGTTCTATAAACAGGAAATTGCTTACTTGAGCTCTGGCTGCTCATTGATCAAGATTTGGGATTACTGCTCAATTAGATTGGTTTTGAAGCCATAGCATAAAATCTAAAATTTAATGATCCACTGACAGTTCCTTCCTACTCATACAGTTCCTACTGTACTTCTGAATAAGTACAACAATAGGATTAAAAATATATTAGATAACTAAAACAAGTAGAAAATTAATTTCATGAGTTCTAGTGAAAACATCCTGCAAATCAGTACTTCAGTATTTGCTTTGAGTTTGTGAAAGAGAATAATAATGATTTTTAACAGAAGTCACTAGCAAGAAAATGTTTTTGTACAAATGCTAATTATTCACATTTCAGCATTGCTGAAAAATTCCCCAGCTAAAGTTGATATCTTCAATCCAATTTTTAATGTTATTAACAATACAGCAAATTTGGTCATAACCATTAAGCAGGAAAAGAGAATACCAACTTATTTTGGAAATAAACAGTCTATCAGGACTTGGAAGATGTTCACTTAGTTGCTGGCACAAAGAGAAGCTGGGCAAAAAAATTAAAGTTTCTATTTTAGTTGCCTTTTGATGAAATACAGGCAATAATACTACATAAGAGAGCTCTAAAAATTAAAGTGATAAAAATCATGTCCCTATAAAAAGATATTCTTACAATTTTGGGGGTAGATTTTTGTCATTCATATTTTTATTAGTGCACATCAAATCTTTGCTGTTCAGAAAAAGAAGAGACAAAGAGTCTTGAGAGAAATTATATGAAAATTTATTATTCCTTAAAACCTTAATGTTCATATTGCTCAAAAGAGTATTGCAGTAAAACAAACTCAAAGAGGACAGACAAGAAAGAAAAGCAGATTATTCCTTTAAATTGGTTTTCTATAAAATGTATTTTGCTATGTGTAACCATTAGATTAACTGCTGGTGGGCAAGATCCCCTTCCAGAATGCTTTGAATTTTTACATGTTATTACACTGATTAAATATTTGAGCCCCCCAAACTACTGGACACCTGTAAATCTTTCCCAGATAGCAAAGAACACCTATCAGTACTGCAATAAATAACTAGATCAGGCTATTGGGTATAATAGGTTATTAAACACAACTAGATCAGACTTGTTCTTTGCAGGTCACTTCCCTCAAATAATTCTTCTTTTCTCTACCCACAGCTGATCACTCTCAAACTCCTGCCAGAAACCAAAGTAGGGGGAAGATAGAGAAAGCAGTGAGAAATATTTTTAAATTCTCAAGAGCTTCTTCAGGTTGGCAAATATCTCCTTGCAAGATCAAAAACCACAGGAAGCCTCTCCAGCCAGGGTTGAGCTCATGCTGCTGGTTCTACCTTGGCTTGACAACAATGAGAGAGGAAGACAGGGTGAGGAAAACTTAGCACCTTCCTTCTTATGACCTAAAAGTCTCTGACTTGCCATAGTCTATTCTCCTCTGCCAAATCAGGACAGAATCAGCCAGCTGGTTACAACATTCTTAAAAGAATCATGTATATAAATGTGTAAATAAATAAATAAACAAATATGCATTTCTATATATACACACACTTGTTTTCATTCCCTTAGGGAAACAGCATTACCAGACAGCTGTTTTGGGGGACAAAAATGAGGTAAAAGGAAAATCTTACATCTTTTGAGTCATTACAATAAGAACATGTATACCCAGTATGTGCCAAGGCACACAGTTTTCTAGTATTTGCTCACTGGGATGTGGTATTTGTTGGGTCCCCAGGACAAAGGAGGAATTGAGAAATTGACTCCATGTTCTTAGAAGGATATTTTATTATTTTATGATATGATATGATATTCAATACTATACTAAAACTGTACTAAGAATAGAGAAAAAAAATCGAAAGAAAAAGCTTAACAAAATACTAATTAAGAACTTGTGACTGCTACTAGAGTCCTGACACAGCTAGATCATAGTTGGTCATTAAGTTAAAACAATTCACATGTTGGATAAACAATCTCCATACATCATTCCAAAGCAGCAAAACAGGAGAGGAAATCACAAAATTCTCTGAAGCTTCTCAGCTTCTCAGGAGAAAAAATCCTGGCAAAGGGATTTTTCAGAAAATATGACGGTAACAGTGGCACAAGATCTGCTTGGCAGTAGTTTGCCTACACAAAATTAACTTTTTAAGACTGGTTTCTAGCAGGATGGTGTAACCTTCATGGAAATCTCTTAAACACTTCCAGATCTCAAGGCCAAATCCTTTCCTTGGAGTGCAATTCCCATCCATTCAGGTACACTTCTTAAATACTCCAGGAGAGATGTAGTGAAGAACAGAATGAATGTGTGCTGGATCTAAAGCCTGAGCAGCTCTGACAAGTCCATGTTGTCCTCCTGGCAAGAGGATTTTGAGGAAGTTGCTCTCATGGCTCTGCCCTGGCACATCAGGGTTCATTAGCTTGATCCAGAAAAAGCTGAATAGGATGAAACCAGAATGCTTCAAGTTTTCTCAAGTGTGGTCATGTTACAAAAAACCTGGGAATAAAAATCAAAGTGTGTTCCATCCGACATAATCTGTTGTGGTGGAAAGACAGAGCTATGGGGATGTCAGTCTCTTCTCTGAGTACCAAGAAGTAGGACAAGCAGAAGTGGACTCAAGTCGTGCCAGAGATGGTTTACACTGGCCAGTAGGAAAAATTTCTTCACTGAAAGTTTTGTCAAGCATTGGAACAGGCTGTCCAGGAAAGTGTCTGAGTCACCATTCCTTGAAAGTATTTAAGAGACCTGTAGATGTGGTGTTTAGGGACAAGGTTTAGAGGTGGACTTTTCAATGTATTAATGGTTGGACTCAGTGATCTTAGAGGCATTTTCCAATCTAAATGATTGTGAGTCAAATACAAGCCCTGGGTTATCTATTTTACACAGAAACAAAAGACCTGGAGGAGGAAAAATCTTTGCTGATTTTGCACACCACTCTAGCACAAAATACATTTCCCAAAAATTTAACTTGAAAAAATTCAGCAAAGGTATGATGTGTGTAATTGAACTTCTGAACTACTAATTGCTTAATGTACATACACCTTACCTTGAAAATATGTTTTAAATGATATTCATCAAAATTTATTTGCATTTTTTCAAGAAGCCTAACGCAACCATCTAAATCAATATTCCCATTCTTGAAATCATTCTGAATGAGACTCCAAAACCACGTATGAGACATGAAGTTAAGGAATATTCTGGCCCATGAAATTGCCCATTAATGGGGGGATGAGGGGGAGAAGTTTCATTTTCTTAAACCTAAGAAGGTTGTGCTTTCCTTTTCTCATGCTCTAGAACACCTTTATCTTCTGACCTGTGAGAATGCAGCAGGCCCTGAGGTGTGCAGGAAGAGATTTTTGCTTTGTCTTCAGAGACTTAGAGGGCAGTGACCAGAAGGGCTGAAGTGAGGGAGTGAAGATGATCAGGGGATGCTCAGGGTGCAGAAAGGGGTGCAGTGAGAGGAGGGAAATGTGGGGAGGCTGAGGGGACTCAGCAGCAGCAGGGAATGGTGGGAAATGCCAGGAAACACCAAGGAATGAGTGTCCCCAGCACTGTGCCCACCCAAACCTTATCAACAGGCCCTGGCTGATGGGACTGGCTGCCCCAGGCCATCCCTGCCACCCTCCTGTGTGCCCAGGCCACCTCCAGGCCTGAGGGGAAAGAAACACGTCAGGGGGACCCAATGGCAGCTGTCACAGGCCAGGGAGGGGAGAGGAGGAGGAGAAGGCAGCAGAAAAAAAGGATATCTATTCTCATCCATGGTGGCTGTGCTCCAGCCCCCTCACAGCAGTGCCATTACCAGCCCTTGCTCGGGCTTGCAGTGGGCTCCTCATGCCCCCATGTCCTGTTGGAGTGCCATGGAACGTTCGCCCCTCCATCCTTCCAGTGTTGCTGCAGTGATGTCACAGACTGCAGGTGCCCAGCACAGTCCCCTTCCTGCCCCTGCTCCAACACCATTGTGGGCCTTTTCCTTCCAGCACAAAATATCTGCCAGGCTCTGCCCTCATCCGCCATCTCCCACCCTCAGGATATCCCACACGCCGGTGCAGGCCAAGGCGGGAGCTGCGTGAGGCTGAGCAGGCCTTTGCGGCCAGCGGGGCCAGTGTCCTCGTGGGGACTTTGGCCAGCTTGTCCGAGGTGCCTCTGCTCTGCTGCGAGGTGACAAGCTGGTGAGGCAGGAAGTCACCACAACATCTTCCCACAAAAAAAACAGGAGCACTGTGCTACCAACCCACTGCAACAGCTTGAGGGAAACCCCTTCTTTGGGCCTTGGGGAACCAGCCAACTCCATGGTTCAGCATGATGGTGGATGTTGGGGAATGGTGAGAAACCACCCAAAGGGCTGGAAGGCCACCCCAAAGCGCTGGAAGTCCACATAAAATGGCTGAGGCCAGCTGAAATGGCTGAGACCACCTGAAATGGCTGAGGCCACCTCAAATGGATGGAAGGCCATCCCATAGAGCTGGAAAGCCACCCCAAAGGGCTGCAAGGCCATCCAAGCTCCCAGTTCCCTGCAGGGAACTGCTGCGTCCTCAAAACCAGCCTGGGCAAGAGCAGCTGTCCATGTTGTCCTCCTGGCAAGAGGATTTTGAGGAAGTTGCTGTCATGGCTCTCATGTGCCTCATGCTTTGAGGCACACCAGTATCAGCCTTCAAATCATTTGGACAACCTTTGGAAATCAGGCTGGATTTTCGCCCTTTCTCCATTTCCCACTCATTTTACACGGATTCTTCTCCAGGCAATCTGCTTCAAAATTGCCAGCTTCCATGTAGCTGTCAGCAAGCCTGAGTGCGACTCTAAATGTGACAGACCAAAGGCAGCTTGCCACAGGTTTTACGAAACTTGTGAAAGCCGAGGACAACAAGTTTTGTATTGGCATTCTGGAAAACATTCAGATTTTGTCAGAGGATATATGAGGGAAAAATCTGTCAAGGAATTCCCTGTTACTCACACTTTTATGGACTGGAATAAACTATGGAATGATCAGCGTCTGAACATCAAGGTCTCCAATGCTGAAGTGTTTCAATGCTTGCTGAAATACTATCTTTGATATGATGGCCTAAATAAAAAGCAGGGGGGAAAGACAAAATGGAGTTGTTTAATTGATTTATTTCTGGATCACTCAGGAGAGTACAGAGACTTCCATCAGTCAATCACCACTTCAAAAATAATTCAGTTCTGCAGTGACTGGAAATAATCTGCTGGAGTACTTTTTTCCTCTTTCTTCATGTGCTTTTCAAGTGCTTTACCTGTAACAGTCAAAATGTCAAAGCAGCACAATGCTACAGGTGAGACAGTAAGCAAATTCTTAGTTTCATTTGTAATTTTAACTAAAATTACATTCACTTATGTAGCATCACACCAAATGAAACATTGATTTTAAGGAAGTTCGTAAGGTAGATTGGCAAAGATTGGGACATAGTATCTAGATTTCATTTATAGCTACAGAAACCCTGTAAATTCAGCCTTCAGGCTTTGCTTGTGCATTTATCTCTGGATTCCTTATACAGGCACATGAACAGAAGGAAGATTAGGACACTGGAGGAATAAATTTCTAATAGCTAGTGCAGAAGATATTTCAGGACTGCCCAGGGATGTAGGCTGGGTGTTGCAGCATTAAAGAATAAAGTAATGCTACTCCCTCTCTCCCAGTATTTATTACAAAGACGAAAGGAATGCATGGGATTTTGGTTTACTTTCAAACTGTGACAGTGATTATTTCCTAACCTTTATCACAAATTATTACAAATGCCTTTCATCCTTGCTCTTTTCTGTAAACATAACTTTTAATTGGAGTTTCAGCAGAAATAAAGTTTAATTTCAATTTTAATTACACTTGGAAAAAGAAATGTGAAGATTTAAGAATTATTCTGACAAATATTAGATATTTTTAATGTAAGCATAAGATTTTGCTGCTGTTCATCATGGCTGGTGGGAATTGCAGTGCCACATGGGTTAAACAGACCCTTTAGTAAAGACTCATCTGAATAAGTAAATACTCATCTGTGGCTTTAGAGATTCACTGCTGACTGGCCATGCTTGCTTCCATTGTCTTGGTTTTAAAATGCCATCAAGAACTACTCATTTTTATGGGTTCAAGGAGAAAAAGCATTGTGCAAAAATGGGCATCTTCAGGTTACTCCTCTGAAGGAAAATGAAGATTTTGCATACTTTCTGCCCTCTGATTTGGGAGGTTCCTTTCTCTGTGTGTCTGGATATGATAATTAATTTCCCAGAGAAACCACTGTTGAATAGAGAGAAAGATGGAGCACAGAGAGCATTTTCTGTGCTCCCTTGGTTCTTCAGAGCTGCATTACCTATGGGTCATTCTCTTTTCACCCCACAGCTGCTGCAGAGATCCATCCAACACCAACCCACCAATCCTTCAGTGCCTGTGCTGCTGCTGGACACCATTCAATGAGCAAGCAGCTGTCTTTACATGGAATTTGGTTGAAAATGTGATTATTTCTTTATTGGAAGAAAAAGTGATTTTATTAAAAATGTTATGCAAGCCCGGGCTGCTATAATAAAGATGGCCTGTTGGGAATGTAGTTTCTATCTGCAGTACCAAAAAAATAGAAGAAATCTTAGGCATAGATTTTAAGTGCTAAAAGACATAGATATAACACTAGAAATTCTGGATTGGAAAAAATTCACTTATTTTCACAAATATTAAACATGAACAAACAAGAGGGAATAATAAAGAACAATGAAAAAGACTAAACAGTTAAACAACTTTCAGTTCCAATATTTATTTCACTAGATCTATCCCTTATGAGATGCAAATCTATAGCATTTTGCAGTGCACTTTTTGGTTCTGTAGAATTAAATTCTCTCTTCTTTAAATTGATGCTTCTATATGACAAAACGGTAGCAAGGAGTGCAATAATAAAAAGCATTTAATATTGCAATATCAGTCTATCAGTCTACCTTTATGAACTTTTCATTTTCTTTCAATTTCCTTCCTCTGTAAAAGAGGGAATCTGTGAAACCAGAATCTGCAACAAAAGCTGCTGAGAAGGATGGAATTTCAGCAGAACAAATGTTCTGATCTGACTGAAAATGCTCACTCATTTTTTGCAAGTCTATGAAATCAATCTGGAAAAGATAATTACAAAACAGGCTTTGTCAAATTTCCCTCTACATTCTCCAGGATGGGCTTGGATTTTTTTTTTTTTTTTTTTTAATTCTTTTGGAAAGTGGAGACCTGGGAAAGAATAAACATTATGAGAAGAAACTGAAGGTGTACAACCCCATGGAAAACTTCAGGGAACTTTTATTTATACACTTTTGTAGCTCTGAATGTCTTTGAGACTTAGTTGCAACTGTTTGCTTTTTTGTCTATAAATGATTTTTTGTTGTTGCTTAGGGAACACATGCCAGCTTTCATTATCTTTATTCCTAAAATAGCCTCCTTTTCTCTCTAATGCTTTGAAAACCATTCACATTCTTATAGCTCCTTGTGAATCCCACTTTTTTTTTTTCTCCATTTCTCTGTATTTTAACAAAAGAAATGAAGGATTGGCACATATAATATATGTATATTTATAACTACAACAAAACCAAAATTCAAGTTGTTCAGCTGTATCAGGCAGCAGTTTTCCACTGCAGTCAAGAGTACAGCACACCTGGAACTGAAGCTCCGTCCTATTTATAATCATAACAATCTGCTTGTTTGTGCCTACAAAAAAACATTATCATCAGGTATCTTTTGGTTCTTCTTATCTTGGGTTGCTCCTGAGCAGCCATGGTTCTTTGTCACAAGGAGAAGATCACCTACTCCAGAAGTTCAGAACAGCTTTACACACAGATGTAATTTTCTCTCAAAATAAATCTGGACTTTTGTTAAAACTCTGCTCCTTTATTTTCAGGCTTGCAGACTCATTGGAATCACCAAGTTGGTATAAACATACCTGAGCCAAATTGGCTCAATTTTTTTTATTTCTGATAATAATTTTGAATCTGTCCTTAATTGTTGCTGTAAAGAAAATTATCATTTTTACTATGCCAGTAACATAAGAGTTTAGCTTGGACTTCATTGCCAGCTTACAGCTGCATTAAAATGAGAAGACACTTTGTATTTGGACTGAATATTTAATGTTCACATTATAAAGTTTGCTTCATGTTTTTCTAGTACTACAGCAGGTGGAAAACCTATCAAAATAATACCAGTGAAACAAA